GGGCTCCCCAGGGGTCCTGGGCTGTGGCAGGCTGGGAGCAGGAGGAGTTGCTAAGGCTCAGGGTCCTTACAAAGGGCATTGGCTAACTCGGCCAGGATGGCTAGGGACCTGCTGGTCATCCTGCTCTGCTTCTTTGCAACCCATTGTCAGCTCAGGTCTCCAGGGCAGGAGGGAGGAAGGGGTGGGTCTGACCCTTCCTGAGGCTTCTCCCAGCTGCCTCAGCTCTCCTACTAGACCCTGCACTGAGCCTGACCAGGTGCCTGGGGTGGGTGGAAGCCCCCTGGGCCATTCAGCCTGATCCTCGTTGTGGGCGGCTCCCCCCCGGCTTCACCCTGCCTCCCAGCTGTCGCCAGGCCCTGGAGGTGACCATAGGGAGGGGACCCGGGCCCCTTTCCCTGGGTCACTGGTGCTGGCTCTCCCGGGCCTGCCCCTCAGTTTTACTTACTCAGGGGGCTGTGGAGGTGCTGCCCCGTAGGGAACAGCCATGGGGAAGGCCCAGAAGTAGTGATAATAGTGCACTAAACTGCCTATGACTGGCCATTCTCCGTGTTTCTGGAAAATAATTCATGATGGATTTTAAATGGAAACTAACCCAATTCTTGAAGTAGAAGCTGCTGGAAATGAAGGCTGATAATGAGAGAGGCATCCTCACATCCCACACTGCCATCCCTTCCAGGCCTGTGCCCAGGGGGCCGAGCTGTTTAAACTCGGGGCCCAACTCCTGTCAGGGTCAAGGACAGACCCACCCTGTAAATACACCCAGAAGGGAGCATGAGAGGGGCCGAAGGGCCTGAGTGCCATGACCCATGACCTGACCTGACCATGTGCCTTATGCCTCACCGAGCATAGTCATTGCTTTTTCAGGCTACTCAGAACCTTGATCCTCTTCTCACATCTGAGGTTTTGTTGTTGTTTTTTAATTATACTTATATTGATTTCAGAAAGGGAGAAGAGAGATAGAGACAACAGTGATGAGAATGATTGATCAGCTGCCTCCTGCACACTGGGGATCCAGCCTGCAACCTGGGCATGTGCCCTTGACTGGAGTCAAACCTGGGATCCTTCAGTCTGCAGGTCAATGCTCTAGCCACTGAGCCAAACCAGCTAGAGCACATTTGAGGTTCTTAAAAGCACTCCAGCCCTACTAGAGAGGAGGCCTCTGGAGGGAGGCCCTGCAGGTGGTCCCCACTCTGCCAGGCCTACCCCCAAACCCCGATTTGATCAAAAGAGAGCTGACCCGTTGTTTCTGTCCACGGGCTACCTTCAGCATGGGTCTGGGTTCCACATGCCTGCCCAAGCCTGCTTCTGCCTGCTGTGGCTCCACGTGCCCCTGGGGTGCGCTCTCTCCTTAGCCAGCTGGTGACCACCAATGAGAAGACTCTCATCCGCTCTGTTCCCTCCAGGAAGACACAAGCCAGGCACTCGAGCTCTGGTGCCAGCCCTTCCCTCTGCCTGTGGCTGTCCTTCCTTGGGGAGGCTGACGGCCCTGCCCCAGGCGCCACCTGCAGGTCTTCTCTGTCACTGCCTCTAAACAGGTTTGCTCAGAGCTCAGTAGAGGATGACCCAGGATCTCTCAAATAGGCACAAGTTCTCACTGATGGCACCCTGCCCACTTAGCCCCTCCAGAGGTGCCAAGACTTCACAAATCTTTCTGAGAACTGCCCAGGCCAGGTGGCTCAGTTGGTTGTAGCGTTATCCCGCAAACCAAAAGGTTGCAGGTTCAATCTCTGGTCAATGTTTCTCTCTCTCTCTCTCTTTCTCTCACTAAAAAACAAAACAAAACAAAGAAACATATCCTCAGATGAGGATAAAAAGTAATTATAATAAATAAATAAGTCTTTCTGGAAGCTGAATGCTGAAAGCAAAATGCTCAAACGTAATTAGTGCTCAATTCCCTGCTTAGTTCAACAATATAGAAATGATGACTAGAGACCATAAATAAAAAACATGTGCTTTATAAAGAACATTTGTAGGATAGTCCCCTACAGAGGGAGGGGGGTGGAGCAAAGTCACTGCTGAAATCTGTGGTCTCTCTGACGATACTGGCAACTGGTGTCATCCGCCATTCCCAAAGGCCCGCTCTCTAGCTCAGTCGTCACTGGTGCTTATTTTTGTTCTTGGTACTTTTAAATCCTCGCGATGCACCTTGGCCAAAACAGATGGTGGAAGGTATTCTGAAATGGAAAAAATCTTTAGACGAGAAAGTCATACTTCTACCAACTAATAGCCCAAATCCTGCTGTCTTTTTCCTCTTCTCCCAGAATGCGCTTTCACTCAGGGGACATTGCTAATGGCGGCTCTTCCTTCCTGCAGACTCTGCTCTGGGGCCCTGGGGCAGCTCCTTACTGCAGCTGGCCAGTGCCTCTGACCCGCTTCCTATGGGGACCGGCTCCCACCAAGCTCTTCAGAGCTGACTTCCTGTCACCCTCCATGCACTGAAACCCTAACTGCCCACTGGCATCTGGACTCACTTGCTGGCCAAAGTCCAGGCAGCTGTGTGACGGCAGCGAAGGGACACGAGTCCTTTTCACATCAGTCTGGATTCCTTGGTGATTTTTTTCATTTGTCCAACATTTCCCCCAAATTAGATGTGAACTCAAGTTTAACCCACTAAAAGTGCAGTTATATTAGAAAGACAGACTCACAGTTGTAATTTAAGCAATAACACTAAGTTACTATCCTGGAGGCCAAGACCGAATCGGCCAGAGTCCACCTCCCACAGACGCTCAGAGGAGCCGGCATCTTTTCCTCCCGGCGCCTGCACAATCTCAGCAACTCAGCCACTGACCTGTGGCGGGAGGTCCGCTTCTCACCCACGGGTTCTGGGGGTGGCGTCATGTGGTCAGAGCAGACTTCCATGGTGTCCCCATCGTCCCCCACGGCTTCTGTCGGCACTTGCATGGCAGCCACGGGAGAGGCTGGGCTGTGGGAAGCAGAGGGGCTTGCAGGGCTCAGCGTGCTTTGGGGCAGCTCAGTCCCATCTGCCGCAGAAATGAACTCACCAGAAAGAGACTTTTCCTGCAGACATTTTATAACTATGTTGGCATTGTGTGATTTTTAGGCTACCGGAATAAGGAGAAGGATTATGGCGAGGTCAAAAGTGAACATGATGATGCCACTTTTTATAAATTTAGGTATAACAATTTCACTTTGCCTTTATTTGTTTGTTTATTTATTTATTTTCTGGTTAAACGTCACCAAAGGCTATTTTTCCATTGTTTTTTAGAGAGACTGGAAGGGAGGGGGAAAGATAGAGAAACATCGATGTGAAAGACATATATCGATTCTGTGTGTATATATTCAAAAGACTTCTCTGAATTCCAGGGGTGGCCACACATACCCTTTGGCTTTCTTTGGTTTATCAAACCGGAAGTCCCCAGGGTAGAGGTGATGTCTCACGAGGTGGTCCTTCCTGTCTTTGCTGGTCTTGAACTTCTCTGTGCAGCCTTCCACCAAGCACTGATACTAAAACAGAAATGGTGTCCTGCCATCCACGGGATGGGGGCCGGAGAGGGAAGGTGCCCTGGTCCTGCCCCTCCCAGGAGTGAGAGCTCTGACCCTTAGGCAGTCTGCTCCAGCCCAAGCCCGCGGCTGACTGCATCACCCACCATGTCCTGCCGCTCAGAGAGGACCTGGAACAAGGAATCGTGCCACTCCAGGATGTGGATGTCCAGCAGATGCCCCGAGGGGAAGGCCCGCTTGCAAAAGGAGCACACGTTTCTGTGCAGAGTGTGGTAGTGATGCTCATAATCCTCCAGGGTGTCGAATACCTGGCAGCAGCCGGCCATCTGACAGGTGAACTCAGGCACCCTGGCAAAGGAAACCACGGCTGGCTGACGAAAAACATTAGGCTGTTCACAACTTCCCTTTAAGTGGTCTGTAAAGCTCGGAATGTTTCTTTCCCAATTCCAAATCTTGCTTTCTTTTTTGTAGATTTCTTTTGTTTTCTTTTAAAAAATTATTGATTTTTATTTAAATAATTTTTAAATTTCATTTTATTTTAATATATTTTATTGATTTTTTTACAGAAAGGAAGAGAGAGGGATAGAGTTAGAAACATCGATGAGAGAGAAACATTGATCCCCTGCCTCTTGCACACCCCCTGCTGGGGATGTGCCTGCAACCGAGGTACATGCCCTTGACCAGAATCGAACCTGGGACATTTCAGTCCCCAGGCCAATGCTCTATCCACTGAGCCAAACCGGTCTCGGCAAAATTATTTATTGATTTTTAGAGAGAGAAAGGGAGAGGAAGAAAGAAACATCAATTTGTTGTTACACTTATTTATGCATTCTTTGGCTGATTCTTGTGCGTGTCCTGACCAGGTTCCCTGAAACCTTGGCCCATAGGGACGATGCTCTAACCCACTGAGCTACCCCTCCAGGGCCCAAATCTTTCTTTGTTGAGAAGTTAATTTTCAAAGACCAGGTAGTGGAGAACCCAACAAAGCGGGGCTGGATGGTGGTTCAAGCAGAGAGTGAGCGCTGTGACAGGACACCAGGGAGGGACAGGACTGGGGGCTCGGGAGGGGACAAAGTGGGGTGCGAGGAGAGGCAGCGCTGGGTGCAAAGCAGCTCACCTGGGCCTCTCGGGGACCCCGGCGACCCCCGTAAGCACATCCTGGAGGTAGAGGTGCCGCTGCACGTCCCCTTCCTGCAGAACATGGTGGGCGCAAAACTGAAGGTCCCGCCCAGCAGGGCTCCGGCCCCGCCCCGCCCCGCCCGACAGCTGTAGGCCACGCCCCGCGGAGCCACAGGCCCCGCCCAGGCCCCGCCCAGGCCCCGGCCCCACAGCTGTAAGCCCTGCCCCTAGGTAACTCCCCTTTCCTCCACTGACGCACCTCAAAGAACTCATGCTCCCGCGGGAAGCGCACCAGGCGCGCTGCAAAGCGGAAAGGCGCGGCCCCGGCCGCGGGGTCTCGCTCCACGGGCAGCGGCTCAGCCGCCCCAGGCCCCGCCGCCAGGCGGGCGTGCACCGCGGGCGGCAGCTGCATCGCCCAGTTCGCCGCGGAGCCGCAACCTGTCGGCCACCGTCCAAGAGCTTGCCGGGGCCGGAAGTGACGTTGCGCGCCACTTCCGCTTCCGGCTCAGGCTGCGCGGCGGATTTCGGCGGGTGTGAGCAGTGGCGCGGCGCTGGCGGTGAGTGCGGACGGGCGCGCGGGGGCCGTGCGCGGCGGGGCTGCCCTCGGACCCGACCCCAGCCCGTGCGGAGCAGAAGCCGTGCTTTGGGGCAGCTCAGTTCCGGAAGGGAGCGCCGCGGTCCTTCCCGGATCCCAGTGGTGCAGGGTTTCTCTGGTGGAAGTTCCCACCCCGATCCCTCCCGGGCCGCTGCCGGCACCCTCGCCCGCACGGCTTTGCCTCTGGCTTCGGCGGCCTCTGGGCTATCGTCGTCTCCAAATCAGTCAGCAAAGAGGTCCCCAGGAGACTCAGGCTTTATTGGAAGCCTTCTTTGTCCAAGGCCTTCAGTGCCTTACGTCCTTCTCGCGGCTGGTCCGGCCCTGCACGCTCCGCTTGCCTTTCCGTCTCCTGCAGCCGCTCGGCGCGGTCAGCGCCTCTTGTAGCAGCTCCTGTGTTGGCAACCTGGGTTCCAGCTCGTGCTGACTCTCTGCCCTCATGTTTGGAGACATCTGCACCTAGCCGGTGTTTGGTGCTTGTACATTGTGAACTGTAATTACATCCGGAGAACCTGTTTTCCACCCCCAAGATCACAGTTACAATTAATTCATTGGTAATTAGCCGTGGAGTGTGGGCTGGGTCTGCTTGGTGTTTTGTTTGACTATGGTGTCTTCACTGCAGCTGTCAGCACAGGGGCTCCTAACCTCTTTTGGGTCACAGAGCCCTTGAGGATCTATTGAAAAAGCCTCTCAGGAAATTCACAGAGAGCCTTGACCTTGATAACAGTTTTTTGTTCATGAATCTGAAGTTAAGAACCTGACGTAGATAGATTGAAATATTTATGTGAAGCGTGTAAAATTTGCTCATCTTTATTTTTTTTAATCTATAGTTAATTACCACTATGTGTTTATTCACTCCCTTTTATCAGCACTGTTGATGGTGATGGCTAACTGGGTCAGTCATCAGTGAGAGAACAAGCTGCCGCTCAGGCCACTACTGTCCCCTTGGGAATATAATATCTCAGTTATGACTTTGATGCCCGTGGATTCTGTATCTAATGGGAGACCATGGGACAACTGGTTGACAGGGTAGACTGAGCTGAAGTGGAATCCCACCCAACTCAGATGCACAGGACATGTGTAGCAATTTTCCCCAAAGCTGCTGCATACACAGCCAAGCTTGGGCAATAGAAGGAAATGTCCTAGGTACCAGAGTGCAGAGAACACACAAACCTGAAATCAAGCAGGATTTGAGAACCAGGTGTGGGCCTCGTGGACTGGAACAGTTGGTACCCACCTGGGGCAGGGGGCAGTAGCTTAGGCCTGTGTAGATCAGGTCCACTGGGTCTGCCCAGCCAAGACGAGAAAATTGTCTGCCAGCCACTGGCCCAGAGCCTGCGTGGTGATGTCGCCCGGGGAGAAGGAGGGCCCAGGCCTTGGAGTCTGCATTGTGCACCTGCCCGCTGGGAGCTGAGGAGTGGGCCTAGAATCTGGCTGGAGTGTGGGTTGCCAAAGGGAGCCTGTCCACTGGAGACTGTGCTGTAAGAAATAACAAACCCTACCAGAGGGCGCCACCTGCAGGGAGAGGAGAACACTCCAGTGAGCCCTACGGGGAGTAGACAGCCGGCTGTCGGTGGTTATGGTGGTCTACGAGGGGCATGGTGTGGTTTTGTTTCTCATAGACCTGACATTAGCCAAAACTGGTTGCTTTCAAAATTTCTTATTAAAAGGGTTTTGTTTTATAAATAGCTTTCCTCCTGTCTTTAGGAGAACATACTGTGATGTCTCAGGGCCAAAACCATGAGTGAATTTCGGATTCACCACGATGTCAATGAGCTGCTCAGCTTGCTGCGTGTGCATGGAGGGGATGGGGCTGAGGTTTACATTGATCTCCTGCAGAAGAACAGGACCCCATACGTCACAACCAACGTGTCCGCACACAGTGCCAAGGTGAGTGCCCATCCCCGCGCTGCTCTGTCTCTGCTGGGCACAGAGCTCACCTTCCTGGCTCCTGGGTGGCCCTAGCAGTGCAAGTGATGATGTCAGACAACATGGCAAGTGCTTTCCATGGACCAGGTGTCTGCTCAGCTCAGTGCTTCTGCTGACGCAGTGGCCACACTGAAATCTCTTTAAAGTGTATTGTTTTTCTTTATTCAAAAATTATATGGTTCAAAATCATAGATCTGCAGTAAAAGGTAACTTTGAAATCTTTTTTAAAACACATTAAGAAGCTTCAGTTATTTAGCCAGTTTAATACTGGCACAGGATAATTAGAAAAATTCACTGAGTCCTGGCCAGTGTTGTTAAATGGTTAGAACATTGGCCAGACACCAAAGGGTTGTGGGTTCGATTCCTGGTCAAGAGGGACAGGACATATCCGGATTGCAGATTTGATCCCGGGCCCTGGTTGGGGAATATGCAGGAAACAACCAATTAATGTGTCTCTCACATTGATATTTCTCTCTTTCCCTCTCCCCCTCCCTTCTTCCCTCCTTTCCACTCTAAAAAAATCCGTGGAAGGCCGAGGAAAAAATATCCTTGGTGAGGATTAAAAAGAAAAGAAAAAAGAAAGATTCACTGAGCACACTAATTTAGGAACACATGTTACGTTTAATCTATTTCAAAGGGAGCATTAAAAGCCAGTGAGAAAACTTAACCCCTGAACCCAGTACATGATAATAAATAAATTCAAGAAAAAACAGAAAAATTAAGGCATAAGCTACCAGGGGGAAAATTCATGGTTATTCTGTGACATATGGCTTGGGAAGGGAAACCTTGGAGGAAAACGTTTTCACAGATTATTTGAGGAGTCTTCTTAGTTTTATTTCCGCAATATATGATTTTTTTTAAAGATTATGTGTATTTATTTATTTATTTAAGTATATTTTGTTGATTTTTCACAGAGAGGAAGGGAAAGAGTTAGATAGCCAGAAACATCGATGAGAGAGAAACATTGATCAGCTGCCTCCTGCACCGCCCCCCCCCCCACACACTGGGTGATGTGCCCGCAACCAATGTATATGCCCTTGACCGGAATCGAACCTGGGACCTTTCAGTCCGCAGACCGACGCTCTATCCACTGAGCCAAACCGGTTTTGGCTCAGCAATATATGATTATTATTTAGCCTACCTAATTTTACTCCATTTGGTTTTTTGTGTTTAATTTTCTGAAAGTTCTTAGTAATCATCACTAAATCACTTATATTTGTTCTTTTGAGGTTAAAATAGCAGAATTTTCTCGTACTCCAGAAGACTTTCTGAAGAAATATGATGAATTGAAATCGAAAAACACAAGGAACCTTGACCCACTGGTGTACCTGTTGTCAAAGCTCACGGAGGACAAAGAGGTAACTTGTGCTCAGGGTCAGGCACATCAGGGAAGGCGCGTGGGGAGCTTGCCTTGTGGGCAGTTCCGGCAAGTGTTGTAAGCACACCGGTTTGCACGGTGGAGGTAACGCCTCGTGACCTGCTGTCGCAGGTGCCCCTCCTGTTGCTCTGCCCGCCTGCCAGAATGAAAACAGCTCAGAGTGGTAGTCAGGAACACGGGAAGTACTGACAGTTACTCGGGGAGGGTGGGGAGAGCTTTTTTGTTGTTGTCTTGTGCCGGGTTTTTTGTTAGCCTAAAGTTGTGTACTTGATGCTAAGGAAAGCACATATCGAGCTGGGGGAGCTGTGGCACATGGGCGCGCTCAGGAATGCATTAGGTCCTTCCTCCTGCTTCCCAAGCTCAGGGTCTATTGAGAGGTGCAAGCGCACCCTCCAGTGCCAAGTACAGATAGGGGGCCAGTCGTGTGTAGAGAAAAAGCAGTGTCCCTGGGAATGGAGTTTGGGAATTGGCTGTGAAAGCAGCTGTAGTGTCCCTCCTTGTGAGCAGAATACTTGAACCTGGTGACAGGAAGCATTGGGAGAGCAGACTGCAGCTTGGGGACTGACGGGAGCCCCTGCTCTCGTGCTTCATGTGGTCCTTGGGGCTGGGAAAGCGAGGGGTGGGGTGTCGGTGCCAGGCAGAGTGCAGACGTGTGCGGCCCCTTGTCATTCAGGGTTCTGTGTGCGCAGACTCTGCAGTATTTACAGCAGAATGCGAGAGAGAGAGCCGAGCTGGCAGCCACGGCCACTGCCAGCAGCACCACCAGCTTCAGCGCCCCCGCCACGGCCTCCAGGATCTCCATGCAGGAGCTCGAGGAGCTGAGGAAGCAGCTTGGCAGCGTGGCCACGGGCTCCACGTTGCAGCAGGTAGTGACCCGCCACCCACACGCCCACACTCACTGCAGCGGGGACGGGAGCGCCAGCAGGGGGTGCACATCTCCCCGTCATCTGTTAAAGATGAATCTGAACGGGGAGACGCTGATCGGGACCAGCGGGGTGTGGACAGGATCCTGGGCACAGTGAATGGCAGGAAGTTCTGTCCCACCCAGGCAGTTTGTGGGTTCAGCCAATGCAATTTCCATTTCCCTCTGTTAATTTTTAACCATTAGTTCTTTTTTAAATTTATACCTTATACACATTTTTCTCTAGATCGTTTTCTTCTATACTTACTGCTCTTCCTTGCTTCTGAGTTTATGTACTGCCCTCTCCCTTTAATGTATGTCATCTGCTCACAGCACTGCCTCTGGCCTTCAAGCCCCACAGAGCTGTGTCCCCATGAGGGTGTGCGCTTATGTGTGCTTGCTGAGCACAGCAGCTGTGAAAGGGACAGTGGCCAGCACTGGTGGGCATGTACTGTCCATACCTCACAAAGCCCTCACACCAACACCCGGGTGACAGATGAGAAAACTGGGTTGGCACCTGCCTTTCTCACTACGCCTGAGCCAGTGCTTCTGAAAGCCACCTCCATGGCCCTGGTCATCTTCTGGCGGCCAGTCCCTCAGGAGGACACTGCTCCGTGCATGTGCCTGGAGCCATCCTTTGCTGGTGTGGCCCTCTCCATCCGTCCCTTGTACCCAAGGGGCTCCCCTTCTCCAACCATCTGTTTCTAGGGCCTTGTCTTCACCCAGCAGCTCATGTCTAGACCTTGAACTGCCAGGAGAAAGCACAGGTGTTCCGAGGGTCAGCCTGCCCCGGTGAGGTGCCCTCACTGCCAGTGCTCCTTAATATGTAGGCCTGCACAGACCGACACCCTGTCAAGGGCCTGGGTCCCATCTCTTTTGCCCCCAGCCCCTTGCATGGGGACGGGCTGGGAGTCATTTCATTGATACATGTACTTATCGAACCCTCGTGCTCAGTGGTGTTAGTTTTAACTGTTTGTACTAAAAGTATCTCTTTGTTTTTCACTTTAAAAAAAATTCTCACCAGTCTCTGGAACTTACAAGAAAGATGCTTCGAGACAAGCAGAACAAAAAAAATTCAGGCCAGCGCCTCCCCGTCTTCCCTGCCTGGGTGTACGAGCGGCCCACGCTGGTCGGGGATTTTCTGACCGGCTCAGGCCTAAGCACGGACACAGCTGTGCCTATAGGTACGTGAAGCACTTACGTCTAACTGCCTGTGTGGTGACTCCATGGGCGGGTGGCCACTGTGCTCAGAGCCCGTCCTGTGCCCACAGGTAGACAGTGGGGTGGGCTGTGTGCTGCCAGCATGTTTGTGGTGCTGGGTGATCGTGCTGCCGGGCCGTGGTCTCGGGGCCCCCAGGGAAGTTTGTGTATGGGCAGCAGGGGTGATTCTCAGAGACACCTTTCTCCTGGCGCTGCCTCTAGCTCCCATCTGACCCAACAGGTGTCAGGGAGGACACTGAGGGTCCTTCTAGGGCTGGGAGCTGCCTGGGCCCTGAGGCATGTGGTGGCAGCCCTATTCAATGGCCTGGGACTGACCTCAGATCTGTTCGGTGGCATCTCATTGTGTGTTTAGTTTATGATAGAAATTGTGTTTTAAGGTCTTTAAGGAAGACCTCCTTTTATCCCAGAGCAACAAGACTTACTGAGTGTAACAAACACTGCATGCAGACCCCACAGGACGTGCTTTTCGGATTCCTGACTGTTCTTTTAAGTGCAGGCAGGTCCCTGCGTGTAGAGGTTTCTGCCTGCCCAATGCTTTCAGGCTCCGTTGGGAGCCCAGCCTGCTGGACGGTCAGCGCTGTTCCCCCTGGTGGTTTGGAATCTCAGCCTTTGGTGCCCCGATGGGATCACTTGGAGCCAAATGAACAACTAGTTCTTACGTCCGTAGTTATTTGAGGCAATTAGAGGAGAATGAGTGAGAGCGTGACTCCCAGCAGGTAGATTAGGTCAGAGAGAGGCAGTGGGAACGGGGAGCTCTGAGTCAAGGCGTGTGGCCTCAGCTGGTGTTTGCCACCCACAGGCTCCCTGCCCCTGGCCGCCCAGGAGTCGGCCGTCGTGGAGGACCTGCTCTACGTGCTGGTGGGTGTGGATGGCAGATACATCACCGCCCAGCCCCTCACCGGGAGGCAGAGCCGGACCTTCCTTGTGGACCCCAACCTGGACCTGTCCATCAAGGAGCTGGTGAACAGGATCCTCCCGGTGGCCGCCAGCTACTCCACTGTGACCAGGTAGGCGCTGCACACCGGCCTTCTCGGGCACACTTGGCCCAGAGCCTGTGCCAACCAGCTTCACTCCTGGCACAATGTGAAGGGCCTGGGGTGGGGACAGGTGCAGGGAGCCCAGTCCAGGCCTGAGAGCAGACACAGACTGTCTAACCTCATCTGCAAACGGAGCTCGCAGCTTCTCCAGGGTGCTGGATACTTCCTTTCCTCGTAGGTTCATTGAGGAGAAATCTTCCTTCGAATACGGGCAGGTGAACCACGCGCTGGCGGCTGCCATGAGGACCCTAGTGAAGGAGTACCTGATTCTGGTGACGCAGCTGGAGCAGCTGCAGAGGCAAGGCCTCCTGTCGCTGCAGAAGCTCTGGTTCTACGTGCAGCCGGCCATGCGCACCGTGGACATCCTGGCCTCCCTCGGTACGTCTCCCCCAGGCCAGGTAGTGTCGCAGGAGGGACCCTGGGCCAGCTTGCTAGTCATTCATGTCTTGCTTTTGTCACTGTGGTTGTGAGGCCAAAGCTGCGGAGCTTCAGGTTTTACTGATTCTCGGGAGGAAACCGGAAGCTCTGCACCTACAGCTTTGGGTGTATCCCATAAGGAGCACCTGTCCCATGGGGAGGTTGGAGGTGAGGCTCTGCGTGGCCTCCCCCTTCTCCGCACTGAGCACCCCTTCCCCTTGCAGCCACCTCGGTGGATAAAGGTGAGTGTGTTGGGGGGTCCACCCTGAGCCTCCTCCACGACCGGAGCTTCAACTACACGGGCGACAGCCAGGCGCAGGAGCTGTGCCTGTACCTCACCAAGGCCGCCAGCGTGCCCTATTTTGAGATTCTAGAGAAGTGGATCTACAGGGGGATCATCAATGACCCGTACAGGTGGGGCTGGGACGCGGAGGGCGGGCAGGCAGCTCTTCAGCTCATTCTGTTGTGCGGTGACGTGAAGGACCCAGGTTGGCCTCTTAGCTGCCTTTGTGTGGGCTCCTCAGTGTGACGGATGTAAATGCATACGATGAAATATGTCAGCTCTCAGAGTTCTGTTAGGTTGAGATTTATTTCTCAGAACATTATACACTTGATTTTAGCCAAAAGGCTGAGGAATGTATTTGTCAAAATATCTTTTTTTTTTTTTTTAATCTTCACCTAAGGATACTTTTTTCCCATTGATTTTTTTTTTTTTTTTTTTTAAGAGAGAGAGGAGGGGGAGTGAGAGAGAGAGAGACATTGACATGAGAGAAAAACATCAAATGGTGGCCTCCCGCATGTGTCTGAACAGGGGCTTGGGATAAAATGCAATGGAGGTACATGCCTTTGGCCTAGAATCAAATCCAAGACCCGTAGGCCCATGGACCGACGCTCTGAGCGCTGAGCCAGATGGCCCAGGACTTGTCAAAATAGACTTGTGGTCTAAGAATAGTCTCTCTTCTAATGACCCAAATAAAAGCTGCTGCGATGGGCTGAGTAAGGGATGCAATTTTGAGGTCCTGGTGCGTAGATGATATTTGAGACGGGATGTGAGGTGTCAACTCTGTTGGACAGGAAAGCGTCCTCAACATGTCCTGTTAGCCACATGCAAGGTGGAAGGACAGGCTGGTTCTGTTGAGAGGCGAACCAGCCTCCCAACCTGCTCTGTGACCCCAACTCTCTCTGGCCCCAGGTCACCTTGCTAACCCAAGTGTGGTTGGCAGGTTTGATTAACTCACAGTTGAGAATTAACGGTAGTGAGACTGTGCCTGGCCTCCGTGGTTGGCCTCCATGGTTGTGACCCAAGATGCCTTTCTGCTTTCAGCGAGTTCATGGTCGAGGAGCACGAGCTGCGGAAAGAGAAGATCCAGGAGGACTACAACGACAGGTACTGGGACCAGCGGTACACTGTGGTGCAGCGACAGATCCCGTCCTTCCTTCAGAAGATGGCGGGCAAGGTGCTCAGCACAGGTGATGCCTGGGGCGGGGGAGGGAGAACAGTAGGCCTCAAGAGGGGCCCATCCTCCCGGACATGCCCAGTGTCCTCTGTGATTGTGTCCTGGGGTGGGCAGGGGTGGGTAGGCAGGCAGGCGCCGGGCTGTGCAGGCTGTGTCTGGTTCCTGTGGTCTGGTTGACTGCATTTGTTCCCTGAGCCTAAGAGGTTGTCTCAATAAGTGCCTCTTCTTCCTCATAACTATTGCATTTTTAGAACTCTGTTGCTATTAAAGGAAAACTTTCTCAAAATACTGCACCAGATTTACACACCAACACCCAGGTCCCCAGTTCTCTGTGGGCAGCAGCTGGGTGTCCTGCAGTCTGACTCAGTCCCGGCACTACCCGATGCCATGCAGGCCCCATAGGTTAAGGGCTCAGTCGCTCAAGATTGTCATGTGCTTCAGTACATGTGCTGCCGAAGCGAGCACAGGACTGTCCCACTTCAGTACATGTGCTGCCGAAGCGAGCACAGGACTGTCTCACTTCAGATACCAGCCGTGAGTCCCAGGCCACCAAGTTGACTATAAACTGGGAATTCCCATGACCCCTCCTCACGTTTGATAATTTGATAGAGCGGCTTACAGAGCTCAGGGAACCAATTTAGCAACTAAGCTGGTTTATTATAAAGGATTTGATAAAGGATTCAGATGAACAGCAGGTGAAGAGGTTTGTGGGGTGAAATCTAGAAGGATCCCCAGTACAGGAGCATCTGTCCCCAGAGAGCGGGGGTGCACCACCTCCTGGCAGGTGGACATGTTCACCAACCCGGATGCTCTTTAAACCCCTTTGTTTAGGGTTGTCCTGAAGGTCCCATCCTATGGGCACAATTGGGTAAAGCAGTGGCCACTGGTGATTAGCTCAATCCCAGCCCCTGGCCCCTCCCCAGACATAAGGGCAAGGTTAAAAGTTCCAGCCTTATCATCACTTGGCTGGTTCCTCTGGCCACCAGCCTCACCTTCAGCTCTCCGGGGCCTGCCAAGAGTCACCTCATTAGCATAAACTCAGGTATGTGTGAAGGGGCTTCTAAATAACAAAGATTTCAAGGGTTTTAGGAACTCGGTGCTGGAAACAGACTAAAACCGAGTATTGATTGTTATATCACAGTATTGCACGCATTGCAGGGAAAGCCACCAAGGACACAGGCCCACTGGGTTCTTAGTCACCCCCCTGGGGCAGGAGCCTGGTTTAGAGACGTGCATGGGGAGTGACTGAAGACGGGCTGGCAGCAGGGTCTGGGCATTTGGTGAGCGCGGGGCTGTCTGGGACGGGTTGGAAGATGGTTTAGAAGCTGGTTCTCAGGGCTTCTTGAGATTGCTTCCGTGCTCTCCATTAGAGAAATCGGATGTAAACAGTCACGGCAAACCACTGCTTCTGACCTCGGCTGGTCACCGTGCTGTCTCCACTATGGCTAGAGCAGGCTCCAGAGTGGTTCTCACAGTCTGTTCTGTGCCCAGTCCTCCAGCTTGTGTGTGGCCACTACAACAGAATTCCTACTTTACCTCCATCTCTTTTCAGGAAAGTATCTCAATGTGGTCAGAGAGTGTGGTCATGATGTCACCTGCCCAGTGGCCAAAGAGGTCATCTATACATTGAAGGAGCGAGCATATGTGGAGCAGATTGAGAAGGCATTCAACTACGCCAGCAAAGTCCTGCTGGACTTCCTGATGGAGGAGCAGGACCTCGTGGCGCACCTGAGGTGTGTGCTTCCGCCCTGTTAGTGCGGGCAAATGTGCAGAAGGTTTGGCCAAGACATGGAGCTCCCAGCAGTTCTATGTGTTGTTTCACAAATGGGCACACGGCCAGGTCCTCTCCAGTCTTACTGCCTGACACCTGTGGACACATCCTCCCCAGCCTGCTCCCTGCCCGGGGTCCCCAGGCTCCTCCTTGGCTCCCACAGTGACGCCTCTGCGCCTCCCTCGTTGGCCTGCAGTGACCCCTTTATGGCAGCTGCCCTGCAGGTCCTGGCACAGTGGTCTTGTGCCCCTGCCTGAGAGAGCTCATTGCAGCTCATCATAAGCTGACCATGCATGTCGCTTTGCATGCATGAGGCTGGAGCCCTTTGTGTGCATGTGGCTTTTTCTTGTCAGTCACCTGCCCCCATTTCTCCAGAGTTTGGGCTGGCCTGCATGCCCGGTGGTCTCACTGATGTCTACCTGTCACCTCTCCAAGGTCCATCAAGCGCTACTTCCTGATGGACCAGGGGGACTTCTTTGTGCACTTCATGGACCTCACAGAGGAGGAGCTGAAGAAGCCAGTGGACGACATCACGCCCACACGCCTGGAGGCGCTGCTGGAGCTGGCCCTGCGCATGAGCACCGCCAACACAGACCCCTTCAAGGACGACCTCAAGGTGGGCCTCCACCTGCGAAAGATGCTTGAAATAAAGCCCAGGAGCCTGGCCAGTGCTGCTCAGTGGTTGAGTGTCGACCCATGAACCAGGAGTTCATGGTTTGATTTCCAGTCAGCACACATGCCCGGGTTGTGGGCTTGATCCTTAGTAGGGGGCGTGCAGGAGAAAGCTGATGGATGATTCTCTCTCACCACTGATGTTTCTATTCCTCTCTCCCTCACCTGAGATAATACTCTGTTTTTCCCTTTCATTGTGTATTAAACTGATTTTTGTGGGTTGAACCATCCTTGCATTTTAAGTCCCACTTGGTCATGGCGTGTAACCCTCTTACTGTGCAGCTGAATTCAGTTTGCAGCGTTAGGGATATTTGCATCCCTGTCCTTCAGGGTCATTGGCCTGGAATGTCCTGTGGTGTCTGTAGCTTGGTTCCCAGGTAACACTGGCTTCATAGATTGAGCTGGGAAGTGTTCCCTCTTCAGTGTTTGGAAGTTTCAGGAGGAATGGTGTTAGGTTCTTTAAACGTTTGGTAGAATTTTCCATTGACGACGTCTCCATCTCCTTGCTGGCTGCAGGTCTAGTGTCTGTTGTTTCTCAAGTCAGTTTGGTCGTTTGTGTACCTAGCACAGGTGCTAGAATTAGCTTTCATGATCCTTTTCATTTCTGTAAGGTTGACATTTCTGTAATGTCTCTGCTTTATGTCTCAGTTTCTCATTTGAGTCTTCTTTTTTAGTTAATGTGGTTACAAGTTTGTTAATTTTATTGATCTTTCAAAAAACCAATTTTTGGTTTCAGTTTCTCTGGATTCTTGTTTTGCTTGTTTTTCGTTTTAGAGAGAGAGAAGCATGGATTTGTTCTTATTCATGAACTCATTGGCCGGTTCTCATATGTGCCCTGACTAGGGATGGAACCTACGGCCTGGGTTAATCAGGATGGTGCTCTAATCACTGAACTACCCGGCCAGAGTGAAAGTGGTATTATTTTTGAAGCAGTATTTTTTGAATGGTTGGTATTTTTAAGCCAGCCTTCGAGATTTAGAACCCATCTTTAGAGGAACTTACCTCAGTCCTGGGTTTGCTTTTCTAGCTGAGATGCACAGGTGGGGTAAGGGTCACGACTTAATGCTTTTTAAAAATAAGTTATTTTAAATTTTTAAGTGAAAAATTCTGTGCTCGCTTTGGCAGCACGCATACTAAAATTGGAACGACACAGAGATTAGCATGGCCCTGCACAAGGATGACACACACATTTGTAAAGCGTTCCATATTTTTAAAAAAAACACACACTTTTTTCAGTTACAGTTACCGTACATGACTGCACTGCCTCCAGGTGAGAACACAGCGATTAGACATCTGCACACTTTACAAAGGGATCATTCTCCATGTTCTTTTCTTTCTCTCCCCCAAGATTGACCTGATGCCTCATGACCTCATCACTCAGCTTCTGCGGGTTCTGGCCATTGAGACCAAGCAGGAGAAGGCGATGGTGCAGGCCGGCCCCACGGAGCTCTCTCTCAGCGGCCTGGAGGCCTTCTCTTTCGACTACGTGGTCAGGTGGCCCCTGTCGCTGATCATTAACAGGTGAGTATGGGCCCGGGCACCAGCTTCAGTGAATGGTTTGCAGGGAGAAGGGTCAGAGGTGCCTGCCCCCGGCGTTGTCTTGTAGCCTTTTGTGTGCTGTGGGGGTTACCTGGCAGCCTGGTGCCCTGGATGCAGAGCGGTGTGTCTGACAGCCGGAGCCTGTTTATGATGTCAGGTGTCGGTGGGATCCCATGCCCTCTCCTCCGCAGGAAGGCCCTGACGCGGTACCAGATGCTGTTCCGGCACATGTTCTACTGCAAGCACGTGGAGCGGCAGCTCTGCAGCGTCTGGATCAGCAACAAGGCCGCCAAGCAGCACGCACTGCACTCCGCCAAGTGGTGCGTTCTCTGTCCTCACGGGGAAGCGGTCCTACGTGCACACCCGTGCAGTGCAGGGCTATTGCTGACCACCAGGTGCACCGGCCCTGTCCCCCCAGCCGCCTGCACAGACCTGTGGGCCTGCCACCACGCCTGTGTGGGCGGGAGCCCTCAAAGGATCGTGAGTCTGCTCCTGGGATGGGACCCTTGTGGTTCAGCACTCATCTGTTTAAGCCCGAGGCATTCTGCTCGCTGGTCTGCGGCCCCAGGTGTTGCTATGCCTGTGTTTGAGCCTCAGGAGCTGCATCATGGGTTTCACGGGCTCCCCACACTGCGGCTGGGTGGGTGGGGAGCAGGAGAGTCTTGTACAGGTGCCAGCTCCACAGCGCCTCTTGGATGTCTTTATTCACCCAGGTTTGCCGGCGCCTTCACGCTGCGACAGCGGATGCTGAACTTTGTTCAGAACATTCAGTACTACATGATGTTCGAGGTCATGGAGCCCACCTGGCACATCCTCGAGAAGAACCTGAAGTCCGTGAGTCCTGACTTTACTGTGACACTTCGACTCTGCAGCGACCAGGCCCTCACATTCAAGGCCCTCAGAGAGGAAGGTGCTGGGTGGGTGTCAGGGTGATGCTACCAGCGAGGCCTCATCGGGAGAAGCTGGGCCCCTGTACACACGCTGTCCTTCCTCACGTGACACGGGGGGTTTGTGTGTGTGCGGGATCTGCCCCAGGACTGAGCTGTTGAACATCATGGGTGCCTTGTCCTCTGGGAGCTCTGAGAGCCTCAGAACTGGGGGCCCTGCACTCCCCCCAGCACGTTCTGGGCCCTCGGAGGCTTCTCAGCTGGAAGAACCAATTGTTACCAAATTCCAAAAGCAGGAAGTGGCAAGTGGCAGTGTTTCCTTCTTGCTTCCTGTCGTTAGGAATCAAAGCTTGGACTTTGGGGCATGTTCAGTATTATTTCCTTTGAGTGGTGTAGGAATTTCCCTCAAAAGACCACAGGGCCAGTTTTTAAATGGAACTAACACAGACTTGCGCAAAGCCAGGGCTGAAGCCCCGGGCACACGACAATCTGGGGGTGCTCCCGCAGGCCTCCAACATCGACGACGTGCTGGGCCACCACACAAGCTTCCTGGACAACTGCCTGAAGGACTGCATGCTCACCAACCCCGAGCTGCTCAAGGTCTTCTCCAAGCTCATGTCCGTGTGCGTCATGTTCACTAACTGCATGCAGGTGCGTGCCGCAGGCCTGCCCACCCTGTCCCTCTCCGTCCGTCCGTCCGTCCGTCAGGCAGCAGGTGCTCCTGAGCGTCCTTCCTGAGCCCACCTGGCCCATGGGCCGGACCCCAGCTGCAGGTTCTGTCCTGGCCTGTTCCTGAATACCTGGCTTTCCTTTTGTTAGAGCTTACTGATTCCATTTTTATTGGGCGCCTGTCAAAAGCAGTGGCTCCAAAGCAGTGGTACCGAAAACAGTGCCAGGAGGCAGAAGGAGTGACGTGGGGGCTCACAGGGCTGAAGGCTCCTGGGACATCCGAACCAGTGGGGAGGTGGAGTAAGCCTGCGATGGGATGGCTGATGACCAAGGGGTCAGGAGTAGGTGAACTCGGTTCCGTAGATATTTAGGAGCCATATTGGGTTGCAAACTGGAGAACACCATGGAAAGCAAGTGTTTCCAGAAAAATAGGCCCATAAGCCTGGAAATGGTGTGGCTGTCTGCAGCCTCCCTGAGGGCCCACCCTCTAACCTCGAGTCTGCAGATGTCCGGGGTGCAGGGGGAAGGGGGGTGTCAATGGGAGCAAGTAGGTTGTAACGAAAAGTGTTTTGGGGCCCCCAGAGGTTTACACAGAGCATGCGATTGGACGACGAGCTGGGCCGCCTGACCCTGGAACACGGCACGATGCAGGGGCCGCCCACCGAGGCTGAGCGGGCGGAGGAGCGCACCCGGAAGGAGCTCGCCAGGAAGGTGCGTGGCCTCGGGTCCTCCATTTTCCTGAGAGATTGGACAGTGTTAGGATTCTAACACTTAAAAACGAAACCTGCTACTACCCTTCCGTTTCTGCCTTTTGTTTGGTTAAAAGACAACCATCTTAAAATTAGGTTCCAAACACAAGCCACAGAAATCCCCTCACCCTCAAACCCCAGCCCAGCTGAGCGCCGGTGAGGCCAGCTTGTCTGCACAACAGGCTGTAGGGCTGCCCTGCAGAACCTGGCGCTCAGCAAGCGTAGGTTAGAGTTTACTTACCTGAAGGTCAGGCTGCTCTCAGATGCCAGGATGCGTGTGCGTGTGTGCGTGTGCGTGTGTGTGTGTGTGTGTGTGTGTGTGCGCGCGTGCGCGCGTGCACGCGCGCGCGCGCGCTCCCATCATGGGTTCAGGTGCCAGCTCCAGTGGTCCCTGTTTCGTCCCCCTCACGGGCAGGAGAGAACATGGACTGTACTGAAGTCTGAGCTGCACAGAGAAAACCCTGGTGCCCTGTGGGCAGGGGGAGAGGCCCAACTGCCCAGGGCGGCTCCATCCTGTGGTCCCAGGAACTTTATTTTATTTTATTTTTTAATATATATTGATTTGAGAGAGGGAGAGAGAAAAACATCAGTGATAGAGAACCATTGATCGGCTGCTTCCTGCACGCCCCCTAGTGGAGATTGAGCCCACAACCTTGGCATGTGCCCTTGACTGGAATTGAACCTGGGACCCTTCAGTCCACAGGCCAGTACTCTATCCACTGAGCCAGATCAGCTAGGGCGGTCTCGGGAACTTTTATGGTGCCCTACCAATACTGTTATCACTTGGACACTCCCTGAAGTCCGTCCTTCTGCTGGAAGAACCTAAAAGGACGGTAAAGGCGAGCTGGGCTCCTGTCTTCCAGCACCTGGCCGAGCACGTGGACACGCCGCAGCTGGCCTCCAGCTTCGAGGCCACCATCAATAAGTTCGATAAGAATTTTTCATCCCATCTACTTGACCTCCTGGCCCGGCTGAGCATCTACAGTACCAGCGACTGCGAGCACGGCATGGCCAGCGTCATCTCCAGGTGGGTGAGGGCAGCTTTCCTGTCGTGGGCACTGTCCCTGCCCCCCTAGACTGCGAGCCCCAGGTTCCCTCGCTGGCTCCCTGCCATCTTCTCTCACCTTCACCTGCTTGGGTCACCACGGACAACGTGAGGCCAGTTCTGCTTAGGCCTGAGGGTGTCTGTCCTTGGCCTCCTTATGCTGCTGCTGGTCCCCCGTCACTCCCTGAGGTGACAGCACGCATCTGTCGCCTGGTGTGCATTCCCCAAGCCGCCCGGCAATGCCCCCAACATCGGTCCATGTCCACGGGCCTAGGTCAGCCTCACTCCGTGGTGCTCCCAGAGCCAGGACCCAGGGAGGACCCCCTTCAGCCCTCTATCTTCCCCCATCAACAGTGTTCCCTCGAGTCAATGAGCAGTGAGAGGGGGGCAGTGGGGGAACGGGGATGGGATGGTGTCCCTGCCGCCTAATGCCCACAGGCTCCCGCTCTGCCCTCACCCTTCAGGCTCGACTTCAACGGCTTCTACACGGAGCGCCTGGAGCGCTTGTCTGCAGAGAGGAGCCAGAAGGCAGCCCCCCAAGTGCCTACCCCGCGGGGGCCCCCAGCACCAGTGCCCAGAGTCGCCGTCACCGCCCAGTGAGGCCCTCGGAGCCCTGCACCACCACACGAAGGAGGGTTTCTAATAAATGTTCCTGAAGGACGTGTTGGTGCGCTGTTACCATTTCAGTGTGGAGTCTGAATGTTACCCCGCTCAGCTTGTCTTTCTCGGGCCAAGCAGCCTCCCAGACCAGAGTGGCACTCCGGTGGGGTGCTTACCTGTGAGCCGCTTAAGTAGAGCAAGGGCACTTTAGGGGGTTTTGTTGTTGGCCTCAAAGAAAAGGGCATTTGAGCAACATTAGGGTTAATGGCCAAGGTGCCTTGTGGAGCAAGTCCCTCAAACCCATGTGCTGGGTTCGCTCCTGGCGCTAGGGGGCAGCAGCTCCTTGTGCTGTAGGTGAGCAGTGATCTGTGTCCACTGATAACGCAGCCTGAGGCAGTGGTTGAGGCGACTGCCCCCAGGACAGCCCTGAGTGGGCATGCCTGCCGCGGCCCATTCCACAGACCTGGCTTCCCCATCTGGCAGTACCTGCCCTTGCTGTTCCCACCTCCCCCGTTTGGCAGTAGATGGCACACCAGCTTGAGGATGATGCTGCCACGAACACCTCTGTGCCACTCTGCTGGTTCATACATGTCATTTTTGAAATTCAGTTTGAACCACTTGCTCCAGGTGGCGTCCTTGGCAACTGAGGAGGAATGAGACTAGAAGCAGCCTAGGCACACAGGTCCCTGGGGTGAAGGTGGGAGTGGCGCTTGGCCTGGGCTGCTGCCCTGCAGGGCTAGGCAAGCCACAAACGGTTCTTTGCGTGTTGCATAGATACCATCTGTGAGCAAACAAGCTTATCGGCCAACCCCGTTGCCGGTCGTGGTGTTATGCAACTTGGGGATTGAGCAGGGGAACCCCCTGGCTCTCGGTGAGGGACCTGCCTGGCCCTGAAGCCCAGGTACCCTGTCCCCGTCCTGGCCTGCACCTCCAGGCTGCAGGTGGTGGCACCCCAGCAGCACCTGCCACTGGTTGGGGGAGAGTTAGATGCGTCCTATGGGTGGGTGGAGGGTCCTGTGTGACAGGAGCCCCTGGGCCCTCATGGGTCCTGGCTGCTGCTGTGAGGTCCCTGCCAATGAGCTGCGCACAGGCGTCTGATCAGTTCGCTGGAAAGCCTCATGGTCACGGCAGACAAATTTCTGTGAAACAACTTGGAATATGTGACGAAGGGACAGAAGTAAATCCGCGGGGGGAGAGGGGGCTTGCGGTTCACCCGGCATTTACCAGTGAACAGTCATGAGTAAGCACAGGGACGGTCCCCACGGGCCTCCGCAGGGGCCCACTCGGTCCAGGCCTGGTTGCTGTGCCCACACTGCTTCTGAGGCCAGGGCTTCCCTGGCACCTCTGTCCAAGATGCCTCCAAAGTCTGGGCCAGCCCCTCTGCCTTTCCTTTGTTGCCATTGCCTCGGGGAAGTAATGGTCCATTGAACTTGAACTTCTGGTCTGGAACCACCTGTGGACACCACCACCACCTGCGTCCCTGACATACTCTCCCCCCAGCATCTCAGGGGACATGTCTGGAATGTGGGCAAACGCACTTGGCTCAGCTGCAGGAGGCCTGGTCCCCAGCCTCCGTGTCAGGCCAGAGTGGGGTGGCCCCATCCAGCAGGACAGGGAGGGCAGAAACCAAGGGGAGGCCCAATGGAAAAACTGCCTCTGCTACTATTGGGGGACCCCTAGAGCAAGGCTGGGTGACCCCCATGGACAGGCCCACCCGGAAGTGGCCTCTGCAAAGAACGGTCTGTGAAGGTGAAGTGGATGGCACCCCGGGTGCTCCCCTCCCCACTGGGTGGATTCCATGCTGCTGCAGAAGCTTTCTGTTCCCCAGGAAGTCAGGGTATCCCCCACCTTCAGACGCACCCACCAGAGACAGCCTTTCACACGCCACTTCCCCCACCAAGGCCCAGTCTGTTTGCCTCCCCCTCCCTTAATTCGGTTCACATTTATGAAGCTTTTCCACGTGCTGGACAGCGGGCACCATCCAGGAGCCCCCAAGGGACCAGCAGTAGCCACAAGAACACCAGAGCATGGGGCAGGAAGGATGAAAGGGAGGGGAGGGGCACCCTGACTAAGGTGCCCAGACCCCGCCCCTCCCAGCATCCGGGGGGCGGGGCCTAGTGGGTAAGAGCTGGTCTGGGGCGGGCCGCCTGGGAGAGCCTCCGGGCCCAGCGCTGGGGCCAGACGTGCCCCATTGATCGCAGAGCCACATCCTGTACACACCGCCGACTTTGGACCTGGATCCCCACGTCCTGTTTGCGCCTGCTGGCCCCTGGACCCCCCATCTGTGCCCTTGGACCCCAGACCCCCGGATCTCCATTCAGGCCACCGGAACCCCATCCTCACTCCACCACCCTCCCCTCCTCCGGATCCCAGACCTCCACCCGCACCCCCGGACCCCTGAGTTCCGATGCACACCTCGGCCATGCTCCACCTCGGGCTCTGGCTGCTCAGCGCGTGGTGGCTGCAGGGTGAGTGCTGGTCGCCTGGCCTGTACCCGCACCGGGCACTGCTCTGCGCTGGTCCCGCTGGGAGGGGGCAGACGGGCCTTAAAAAGGGAACTGAGGGAAACCCGTGCGTGCCTCGGTCATTGCTGGGCTCCTAGTGGGAACTGGGGCCCGGATAGAGCAGTGATTGCCCATCCCTCCCCGGACCCCCACCCCAGGAAGGAAGGTAGGACTGAGGAGCAGTGAGTGGCCTTGAGCTGAGAGTGGGGAGGTCTAGCCACATGGGGGCCTACCCCCTCCCCCCCCCACCTGTTTGGGGAGAACCAAGCATACTGCTGGCTCTGGCCCCTAACTGGCTCCCCGAACCTCCTGTCTGGATTCTGTGGTGTCCCATCCGCCCCCTGGAGGCAACCAAGAGCGTGGCTGGGGCTGCAGGACTGAGTTGGGCGCCCCGGGGCCTCTTGAGCCTGGAGGTTTACAAGATAACGGTCACAAGATTTGGTCCCCTGATTTTGGACTGTTAATACCTTAAAAGGGAAAGGACGGGGTCTTGTGTGGCCTGCTGCCTGTGTGGGCTATGTGGGAGCTTCTAGTGGCAGGGAGGCAGGTCAGCTCCCCCATTAGACGCAGTTACTGCGTTACTTGTAGGCTCCTGGAAGGGCTGCCTCGGGACAGGGTCTGCCTGGCCCCACCTGCTGGGGTCCTGTTGTCTTCCCAATGCCAGGTGCAGGTCCGGTCCCCACCCTGTCTCACCAGGAAGGGGCCTCCCCTGGCAGGAGGATGGGTGCCCTGCGCACCTGCTGACACCTCTCTTTCCCGCAGTGGCCGCCCCCAGCCCCCCCTTGCCCCATGTGGAGCAGTACAAGGTGGTGAGGCCCCAGCGCCTGCCGGGTCCTCGTGCCCGCCGGGCCCTGCCCTCCGGCGAGGTGAGTCTTGGCCGGAAAATGGCCTGGTGGTGGTTTCGGGGGTCCCTGTCTGCTCCCACAGTGCCCAGTTAGAAGATTGTAGCTCCTGTGTGTCCCAGCCGGTTGTGAGGGTCCAGCCTGGGGGCTGAGGGCTTTGGGGCAGCGCCCTGAGGGGCTCACTGCCCACCTGGGCTCCGCATCCTGGACCCCCTGTTTTCTTGGTTCGGGTCCTGTACCCGGAAAGGGTGAGTGACGTCCTTGGTGCTTGGCTTGGCTGTCCTCCAGGCCTCACCTCCTGGCACCCTGCCTCTCCCTGTGGCACTCCCCAGTTTCGATCAGCGGTGACAAGTCAAATTCTTCCTCAGACTAGCGGGGTGGCTGGCTCCCCAGAGCCTGTTGCAGTGTGTGGTCACAGGGACACCCTTTCCTAGGGGCTTTGGCCTGGGCTCAGATACCCAGAGCTGCCCGGGGTCATTCCCATGTGGGGTGTGCAGTGTGTGTGTGTGTGTGTGTGTGTGTGTGTATTGGATGTGCCTGCCTGTGTAGTGGGGGTAGCCCTGTCCTGTCTTTGGAGTCTGGGAAGGACACTAAGCCCCCTGGACCCTCACCCCACCCTGAGGGCCAGGTGCATGCTGTCCCTGACAAGGAGCGGAGGGTCTTTGTCTCCTGAGAGTACGGGGCTGGGGTGGGGCTGGGAGGGGCTGGAGGGGCTGGCCCACCCACAGCTGCCAGTAGGGCTACATCTCCCCTCCCCTTGCTCCTTGGGGAAAGAGCATTATTGTCACTGACCTTGTGTGGACAGATGGGGAAACCGAGGCCCGAGGCCTGGCAGGACCCCTGCATTTCAGCCCAGCCTGATGCCGAGCGACCTCTAGGGTCCTCTGAAGGGCTTTCGGGCTGGGGGCCCTGGCCTTGGGCTGCATCCCTGTCCTCTGAGCTCCCCCCCCCCCCCAGGTTTGAGATGGGCGCCGCCTGAGACAAGGCCCCCACCTTAGACCCCTCCTGTTTGCCGGCTCAGGGCCTGTACCCAGAGAGCGTGAGCTACGTGCTCGGTGCCCCAGGGGACACCTTCACCCTGCACCTTCGGAAGAACAGGTGAGCAGGGCCCGGGCCCGCCCAGCACCCCTGTGTCCCGGGCGCCCTCCCTGGCATTGCCCCTCCAGGGCGGCAGGGGGGCCAGTGAGCGACAGGGCTTCTCTCCTAGGGACCTGGTGGGCTCCGGCTACACGGAGACCTTCACGGCTGCCAACGGCTCCCAGGTGACCGAGCCGCTGCAGACACAGGTACGGCCTGGAGGCCTCCCAGGGTGGCTGGGGGCTCTGGGGGTGGGTCCTGCAGAGCCCTCATGCCCGCCTCCCGCAGGACCACTGCTTCTACCAGGGCCACGTGGAAGGGCACCCTCTGTCCGCTGCCAGCCTCAGCACCTGTGATGGCCTCAGGTGGGTGCTCCGGACCCGGGCGCCGTGGGTCAGCATGTCAGGGCCCCAGCACACCCTCCAGGGAAGTGAACTGAGGCTGAGAAGAGGGGCCAGGGCCAGACTCGGGGACACCTTTGAGCACCTGGGTGTCTGGGCTCTGTTTATGATGGCAGGTTCCCCACCTGCAGAGCTCCCCCTGGGCCAGGACACTGTCCGCCTGCGTGCCCCAGGGCCGACTGGGGGCCTCCTGACCTTCCAGGCTCTGTCCCTCCCTGGGCAGCATGCCGGGGGCGGGCACTGACCGGAGCCTCTGGCTTCCCTCTGCCCACAGGGGCTTCTTCCAGGCAGGCTCGGCCGTGCACCTGATCGAGCCGCTGGGCGGCGGCGGGGAGGAGGGGCGGCACGCGCTCTACAAGGCCCAGCACCTGCGGCAGAAGGCGGGCACCTGCGGGGTCAGCAACACCAGCCTGGAGAGCATGCTGGGCCCTCGGACCTTGGCCGCCTTCAGGCCCCGGGTGAGGAGGCCCCGTCCAGCTTCATCCCTGTCCTCCTGGGCCTGCGCGTCCCCCAGACTCCCGGGCTCTCAGCGAATGAGGGCGCTGCCCGCCGTCATCCGGACGGCCAGGGGGCCTGACTGCCCAGCAGCCGCGGAGACGGCTCCTTAGTCCGTGCTGGCGCCTCCTAGCCCGGTCCCCCGACACTGAGGGGCCCTGGACCTGGTCCGTGTGAAGGCGGGGCCGAGGTGAGGGGGCTGTGCTGGGGCCGCTGACCGGCTTCTCGCTGCTGTTTTGCAGAACGGGCCGATGTCCCGGAAGACCCGCTATGTGGAGCTCTATGTGGTCGTGGACAGCAGCGAGGTGCCGTGGGCAGGGGCGTGGGCAGGAGGGGGCAGGCCGCCCGTGGGCTGCTGACTGAGGGTCTGTGTCATCAGTTCCAGAAGCTGGGGAGCAGAGATGCTGTGCGCAGGCGGGTGCTGGAGGTGGTGAACCACGTGGACAAGGTGCTGGCTGTTTCTACGTAGGGGGGGCGGGGGCGGGGGGTGGCGGGAGTGGGGTCTCCCAGGGGCTCCTCCCCCAGCAGGGGCTTCCAGGACCCAAAGCAACACAGGCCCGTTCTGGACCAGATGCCACCCAGCCTGCCAGAACCCTGGTTGTCAAAGAGGAGGAGCAACTGGAGGGCGGTGTGGGCGGCCCCTGACCCGTGGGACCCTGTCTCCCTGCAGCTGTATCAGGAGCTCAAGTTCCGCGTGGTGCTGGTGGGCCTGGACATCTGGAACTACGGGGACAAGATTCAGGTCAACCCCGACGCCAGCATCACGCTGGACAACTTCCTGACCTGGCGGACGCAGAACCTGGTGGGCCGGCACCCCCATGACAACGTCCAGCTCATCACGTGAGTGGGCAGCAGGCGGCGGGCAGGGAGGACAGCCATGGCCAGCGAGGGGCCGTGGGACCGCGGTGGGCGCGCAGGGGAGCCCGCCCGCAGACACTTCTCTTGCTCGCAGCGGCATCGACTTCGCGGGGACCACGGTGGGACTGGCCAGGGTGTCCGCCATGTGCTCCCAGCACTCAGGCGCTGTGAACCAGGTGCGGAGGGGGCCGGCGGGGGGGGGGGAGCCGGGCTCGGAGCGTGAGCTGAAATGCATGCGGGGGAGAGCTCGGGGCTCAGTCCACCTGCCGGTCAGCAGTCTGTCCCCGTGAACCCCTGACCGGCTGCCTCTCCAGGACGGTGCTTGGTGTTTTTTAAAATCCTCACCCCAGGATATGTTTTTCATCAGTATTTATAGAGGGAGGACGGGGGAGAGGGAAACATGGATTCCCAGCGCCCCGACTGAGGATCGGACCCACAGCCTGGGTGCGGGCCCTGACTGGGAACCAAACCCGCAGCCCTTCGGTGCGCGGGATAACGCTCCAGCCAGCGGAGCCGCCGGGCGGCGCTTCACGTTTTAAGAAGCGTTCGCAGGAAGTGATGGCAGCCTTGCTTGGGGCAGCAGGGCCGGCAGGAAGGTGTCTGGGCCCAGTGGGCACCGTCCAGCGCAGACTCTCTCTGCAGGACCACAGCGCGAACCCAATCGGCGTGGCGTCCACCATGGCCCACGAGATGGGTCACAACCTGGGCATGGACCACGACGAGAACGTCCAGGGCTGCTACTGCCCGGAGCCTCGCACCAGCGGCGGCTGCATCATGGCAGGCAGCCTCGGGTGAGGCCCACCCCGGGCCTGGCGGAGGGCCCCTGCAGAGCAGGCGGCCTGCCCCCTCACTGCCCCCCTCCCCCTGAACCACCCCTCTCCCCACAGCTCCACGTTCCCCAAAACGTTCAGCCACTGCAGCCGGGCCGACCTGGAGGCGTTCGTGGAGAAGCCCCGTATCACCTGCATCGAGAATGCCCCGGACCCCGACCGCCTGGTGGGCGGCCCCGTGTGCGGGAACGGGTTTGTGGAGCAAGGGGAGCAGTGTGACTGCGGCTACCCCCAGGTACCGGGCCCCGCACCGCCCCCCTCTGCCCGCCCCCGCCCCGGGTCTCAATCCCCCAGGTTTCGGCGTCCTTCCTGACCCGCCCAGCGGCCTGCCTGCCCACGGCCAGTCTCACCCCTACCTTCTGACACCCCGTCCGCCTGCAGGGGATCTGTGGGAAGGCCCCGGCCCTGATGGGGGGCCATGGAGGGAGGTGGGCCCCACTGTCACTGGGCAGGTGCACACCCTCGCATTGCCCCGTCCGTCCCCCAGGACTGTCAGAACCACTGCTGCAACACCACCACCTGCCAGCTGGCCGAGGGCGCCGAGTGTGCCCACGGCCCCTGCTGCCACGAGTGCAGGGTGAGCACGGGGCCCCGTCCGGCCCCCGGCCCGGCCGTGCCCCGGGGCAGTGGGCGGGGAGGGGCCCCTGGGATGGCGGGGACGGAGAGCAGCCTGGGGCCTGCTGTCCCCATGGTGACTTCGCTCTTGGCCCAGGTGAAGCCGCCCGGCAAGCTGTGCCGCCCCAGCAAGGACGCCTGCGACCTGGAGGAGTACTGCGACGGCCAGCGGCCCTCCTGCCCGGAGGACGCCTTCCGGGAGAACGGCACGCCCTGCCGGGGCGGCTACTGCTACGACGGGGCCTGCCCCACGCGGGCCCAGCGGTGCCAGGACCTGTGGGGGCCAGGTGAGGCGGCGGCGGGGGCCCACCGGCGGGGGGGGGGCGGCTGCGGGCCCCTTGCTGGACCGCTCACCTGCTCCTGGCCTGCAGGTGCTCGGGCTGCCTCGGAGACGTGCTACTCCCGCAGCATCTCGCCGGGCTGCAGGGGCACGGTCCGCCTTAGTGCCGACAGGTGAGCGTCCCGCCCCACCCCGCCCCGCTCCCTGGCTCCGGGATGTCCCCACAGGCGGGGGCTCCCAAGAAAGTCCTCTGCACGGAGGGGGAGGGGGAGGGGGAGGGGGAGGGGCCCACCCTGCCTTCCAGGACCGCCAGGCCTGACCACCCTGCCCTCGGGGGAGGCGGGTGGATGCCCCATCAGTGAACCCCACAGCCCCTCCCGGGGTCCTGGGCCTCGTCTCCTGGCAGCCCCCTGGGTCCCCACGGAGCACGTCAGCGTGCACGGAGCAGGCGACCACGCGCTCTCTCTGTTCGCAGGGCCGGGTGCGACTTCCTGCTCTGCAACGGCGGGCAGGAGCCTCCAGAGCGGGGCTCCTGCTCCTTCACCTACAGCTCAGCCACGTGCCAGGCTCTGAACCTGGTCGGCGGCTCTGAGTTCGAGCAGGTGCTGGAAGGCACCAAGTGCGGCGATGAGCGGGTGAGTGACCAGACACACGCCTGGCTGTGCCCCCGAAGGGCTCCGTGTCCCTGACGAGTGCCCCGCACGCACACTCAGGTGGTCCCAAGCAAGGCTAGCATGATTTGAAGACCTTTCCGTCTGCACGTCCCCCCAGAGGCCCGGGGGGGGGGGGGAAGAGGGGGGAGCCGGTCCTCGGTGCCCCTGGTGGCCCGCCTGCCAGCAGAAGGGCGGCAGACCAGGCCTGCCTGGCCGTGGTGGCGCGGTGGCCGCGGCCTGCCCCCTGAAGCTCACCGGCAGGTTCCGGGGGGGCTTCCGTCCGCTGCTGGGGGAGAGCAGGGGGTCAGGGGTGGAGAGCGACTTCCTAATGAGACCCCCCTGCCTTCCAGGTGTGTTGGAAAGGACTGTGCCAGGACTTCCACGTGTACCGCTCCAGAAACTGCTCCGCCCAGTGCAACGGCCATGGGGTGCGCGCCCTTCGGGCGGAGGAGGCTGTGGGTCACGCTCAGGGCAGGCCTGGGGGGACAGAGGGCGGAGGCCTGGAGCTGGCGAGGATCCGTGGGCCCCGGGTGGACCCCGAGTTCCGGCGGTGGTGGTGGCCGTGGACACATGGGCTGGGCCGCTGCCGTCAGCGTGTGTGACGGCCAGGGACGCCTGGACGTAGGAGCCAGGTCCGTGGACCAGCCCAGCCTGTCCCCGTCAGTCACGGCAGAGCCCTCACGGGCCTCGGCTGGCCTGGGGACTCCTGTGTGGGCGCCGGGCGGTGTGGCACGGGCGCAGGCAGGGTCCGGGGCCCATCCCTGACGCCTGGCTGTCCCGCAGGTGTGCAACCACAAGGGGAAGTGCCACTGCCAGCCGGGCTGGGCCCCACCGCACTGCACAGAGCTGCGGGCCGAGCTGCACACAGGTGAGAGCCCGGCGGTCCCTGGGCCTTCCCACCCTCACAGCCCGATGGGCAGCGGGACGGGGCCCCCTGGGCAGTGAGAAGGAAGCTGGGAGCCCCCAAACCACTGGTGCGCTGTTGAAGCGTCAGACTTGCAGGCCCCGCCGAAACCGGTTTGGCTCAGTGGTGGAGCGTCGGTCTGCGGACTGGGGGGTCCCGGGTTCGATTCCGGGCAGGGGCATGTACATTGGTTGCGGGCACATCCCCGGTGGGGGGTGTGCAGGAGGCGGCTGGTCGATGTTTCTCTCTCATCGACGTTTCTGGCTCTCTGTCTCTCTCCCTTCCTCTCTGTAAAAAATCAATAAAATATATTAAAAAAAAAAAAAAAAAAAAAAAAAAAAAACAGACTTGCAGGCCTGGGCATCCTGACCTCACGGGTCTAGGGTAGGGCCTAGCAGGCGTCCTCAAACTTTTTAAAGTGGGGGCCAGATCACGGTCCCTCAGAGAGCTGGAGGGCCGGACTATATGAACTACTAATTCCTACTGTAACACCTCGGCTGCGCTCACTGCCCAAAAAACCTGGCGGGCCGGATCAGACTCCTCTGCGGGCCGCATGTGGCCTGAGGGCCGTAGTTTGAAGACGCCTGGCCTAGAGCCAGTAACCCCCACTCAGCCCCACAGGAGACGGGTCTTCGGATGGGTGTGTGGCTGCAGGGAAGGGGCCAGGGGCCGCCTGTCTGCCCTCTCAACCCCCACGGCCCCACTGACCCCTGGTCTCCCGCTCCCCACAGTGCCCGGGGGCCTCCTGCCGAGCGTGCTGGTGCCCGTGCTGCTCCTGGTGGCCCTGGCGCTGGCTGTGCTGGGCGTGGTCGTCTACCGCAAGGCCGGGAGCCACATCCGAGGAAGGTGAGCGCGCCCTGGTTGCACCACATCCCCGTGCAACAGGCACATCCCCTCCTCCTGTTGGGAAACGGCCTGCTGCCGCGGGAGGAAGGAGAGAACCACAGCGGGTCCCGAGGGCCTCTCGTGGGGCGGGAACAGGTGACAGATTTGGTGACAGATTTGGTGACAGTGGGGGATAAGCCCAGAGATGGTCGCGGACCCCCACGCACACCTGACCCTGGTAGGCGCTGGCATTTTGGGGATAGCATGGGCTCACCAGCCGCCCGCCCGCCCGGTCGGGACCTGGACCTCGTGCGGCCGCAGGAAAACACCCACGAGGCTGCCTCCCCTTTCCGAGTGGCTGTGACTGCTGCCCCCCGTGGGGGATGGCAGGGACTGAGGCGGCTGTGAGGTACCTGGCCAGGCCAGGGGGCCTCGTGCTCAGGGGACCCCACATCCCTGGATAGGACCCTGAGGCCGGGATGCACTGACTCATCTTACTTTCTTGGCAGGAACAAGACGCCCAAGACCGCCCTGGGGCGATCCAACCCCCTGTTCCGAGAGGGGGGCTTTGGGCCAGCGAAGGGCATGGCTCCGGCCCCCACCGTGCCTACTGTCCACTCCGGCCCGCCCCCCCGGCCCACGGCTCCCATAGTGACCCCTCAACGGCCCCCCCCTGCTGTAAGCACCAGACCACCGAGTCCCGGGCCAGGGCTCCACCAGGGCCTAGCGCAGCAGCCATGGCCACCCTGGGGGAAGGCAGGAAGGAGGCTTGAGGATGGGGGCTCTGAGGACCCACAGGAACTGATGACAGAATTGGCCATTGAACTTGAATCAGGTTCGAGGGCTCTGTAGGGCCAGTCTCCCTCTGGTGCCACCCAGCGCCTCAGAGCGCTCACCGGCTGAGCAAAGGGAACGTGAGGGTCACATTGGGGCTGTGGGCCCTGCTGGTGGTGGGGCAGAGCTGCCATATGCACACCTGGAGCTTTAGTCTCCCTCTGGGAGGGGCGGAACCTGAGGTCCTGAGCTGGGGGGCTGGGGTGACAGCGAGGGGCGATCCAGGCTCACGACCCTGTTCCCTCCAGCCTCCAGCCGCCACGTCCAGACCACCCTTCCCCGTTCCCATGTACACCCCGCAGGCCCCGGCCCAGGTGAGTGGGGCCCCCAGCCAGGCGGTCTAAGTGGCGAAAATGGGGTCCCAGGAGGTGGGGGGCACAAGGGATGGGTTTGCGAGTCTGGGACCCCAGGGTATGGCTGCCCCACTTTCAGAAGGCTGATCACCTGGGCCCAGTGAGGACATTAACCCGGGGCCTGGGCTCCTGACTCTTCCTCCCTCCAGCTCAGACCTCCTCCTCCCACCAAGCCCCTCCCGGAGCGGAAGCCCAAGCAGGTGAGAGGACCTGGCCCCGTGGCCACTCAGTAGACTCCCTTGGCTATGCCTGTTCCCTTCCCCTCTGGCCAGACCCCCCACCTCCCTGCAACCCAAACCCCACAGGCGAGTGTGGGGTGCTCTTCTCTGTGGTGCCCCCTGCTGGCCTGACCACCTTTAGGCTTACCCCAGCGTCTCTCTCACCACCCACCAGCCTGTTCTTCTGACAGAGTGGGGGTGGCAGGAACGGCCAGGCTTTCTCCACCGGCACCACCACCCGCTCCTGGGACAGGCTCCACCCACCAGGTGTCCTGTTGTCCGCCTGTCTGTCATTAACCCGAGATGTTGACTCATATAGGTTTCTCCCTGTGGCCTCGATATCTTGGAGGAACTTTGAGAGATGCAAATCGTATAACTTTTTTGTTGTTAACCTTCACCGGAGGGATTTTTAGAGAGAGTGGAAGGGAGGGAGGAAGGGTGAGAGAGAGAGAAACATCAATGTGAGAGAGACACATCTATTGGTTACCTTCCCCACGTTCCCCAATCCGGGCTGGGACCCTTACGTGTGTGGGCCAACACTCTAACCACTTACCACACTGGCCTGGGCTCTATTAATTTTTAAACTGACCCACAGGGATCTCCCTGCAACAGCCTTCACGTGGTGCTTGCTTAATAGATGTTCCCTATTGCTTTCTTTTTAAGCTTTTTATTTAGAACTAATGTTAGACTTACAGAGAGTTACAGAGATGGTCTAAGGAGGGGTTTGACCAGCCGGAAGGGGGCCACAGGGTGGGCAGAGATTTCTGGCCCAGGAAGTGGAGATAGCCAGGCAGAGGCTAGGAGGAACCGGCTGCTCAGTACGGTCCTTCCGGGTTATCAGAAACGACAGATGCTGGGCCCACCCAGGCCTCCTGGATGCTAGGGGGTGTGGCCAGGGCTGAGCAAGGCTGGGCCAGGCCTGGTCAGCCTTCCACCTCCCTCCCGAGTCCCATCCCCATCACCCTGGGAAAGCTAAAAAAAAAAAAAAAGCCAATTTTAGTAGCTAATTTTTGGTTTTGAACTTCCAAGAGCCACATTCTAGCAGTTTTTAAGGCTTTTTCTTGTTAAGGTTGGGGCGGTGTAGGGGAGAGGGCAGCCATGGCCTGCTGGTTCGGGTTTCTTTCTGCAGGTGGCCTCGGTGGAGGGCGGGGGTGGGATGGGACTGTTCTGTGGAGAGCTCAGCAGAGAAAAGCAGAGCAGGGCGCCTGGAAAGACAGTGCTGTGCCCAGGCCGGGACAGGTAGGTGTCATCCACTGACACTGTGTCTGCTTCCTCCCAGGTGACCAAGCCAACCTCCGTGCCCCCAGTACCACCAGTCAAGCCCAAGGCTGGAGGGGCCAACCCTGGAACCACTGAGGTGAGCCTCCCCCCACCCCCCAGCAGTGTCCACAGCAGGGGCAGTGGAGCAGGCTGTCAGCTCAAAGGGGATATGTCAGCTGCAGGTATATTCTAGCCCACATGTGTCAAACACAAGGCCCGCGGGCCAAATCCGTCCCACCAGGCCTTGCAATGTGGCCCACACCGCGCTGTCATCACTGCACTCCGCTGCGTTTCCATCACAATGACAGTTTATGACTGTTCAGTAAACCATTCGGCCCGCAATTTAGGCTGGATTTTAGATTTTGGCCCCTTCTCTGATTGAGTTCGACACCCCTATTCTAGCCTCTGCTTCATACTCTGCCAGAGAGCTTTTCAATGGATGGCTGCTCCACTGGCTGGTCATTTGTCTTCACCCACTAGTCTAAGTTCGAAAGCCTGTCCTTTATCCGGTGACCGCTATGAACACGGAGGCACTGTTACTGTTACTGTTGTGTGCAGGGGCCATCATGTTGTTGGCTGAACTAAGAATTAAATTTTATTAAGTGTAAAAGGAAGTAAGATTCACTTGTACTCTTTGTAGCAGGTGGTTTTTATTCTTCCTTTTTTTCCTCCTTCAAGGGAGTTGGCCCAAAGGTTGCTCTGAAGCCCCCCGTCCTAAGGAGATGATGCCCCTTGGGGCACCTGCGCACCTCTCTGCAAGTTGTTGAAAGAACCCAGTGCCAGCCCCTGCAGTGCCTCTGCCCAAGCCCTCGGTGCCGCCCCGGGCTGGTCCCACTATGGAAAGTCCCAGCAGAAGAGCTACCTCCTTGTGGCCAAGGTCTTGGCTTCTGCAGCCCAGGGTCACAGCCAAGGGCCTCTAGGTCAGGACTCTGCTGGGTTCCTGACTTCTCACCCACGTTGGCCACCCCAGCTCTGACGGCCCCCAGGCCGGGGTCAGCTGCTGTGTGGCCTGCGTATGGGTGTCTCTGGACTTCCAGGCCCCTCCGGGCGGGAGGCCTGTGTGCTGTGCTTCCGGGAAGACCTCTCCTGCTGGTGTGCTCCGGCACCCCCAGACTGCAAGCCCCTCCATTTTCATTTCCTGTTTCCCTGCTATTTAAGAAAAAGCATGTTTTTACAATTAAATTATTGATCAACTTTTAAATGACTGGAGATTTTTATTGGGTGGACTGTGGAGGAAGCCAAACCACGTGGGATTCAATGTATAATAGTTAAGGTTCCGACGCTTGTTAAAATAAAACGTACACTGTACAAGGACGGCGGCTTTTCACCTTCTTTGCTCCCTGACGTCATCCTAAGACACCCCCGCACCCCCAAATCTGAGCATCCGGGGGTGCACTGACCCAGGGACGCGCGGGCAGCACCCTAGGCCGCAGCCCAACCACTGACCTCCACCCTCACCTACAAAACTCCCGCTCTTCCGGCCCCGCCCCCGTCTCCCCGCAACGGCCCAGCAGCCCGCCCCTTCCGGCGCCGTCTCCTAGCAACGGTCAACAACCCTGCAGCCATGCTGGGCGCCGCCGGACCGAGCGCCCCGGCCCCGCCGCCGCCGCCGCTGTCGCCCCGCGCGCTCCGCGGCCTGTACGGCTGGCTGGACCGGCTCCCGCTCAGCCGGCCCAAGCGCCACCTGGCCCGCGACTTCAGCGACGGCGGTGAGGGCCCGGCGGGCTCCCTGCAAAGTGCTGGAGCCCCCAGGACAGGGTGTGAGGGGCGCCCCTAAAGTAAGGTGACCAGACGTCCCGATTTCTAACAGTGTGTCCCGCGCCCTGCGGCGTTTTAAAAATCCAAAAGATTTAAAAGATTCTTTCCAAAAATCGGGACTTTTTAAAAACGCCGCTGGACAGATTGTTTAAAAATCGGGACGTCTGGTCACCTTACCCTAAGGGATGCGCAGCACGCGGGCAGGATGGAGGATGGGGGTATTGACGCCTGAGGAGGAGGAGGAGGAAGGTGGCAGCAGAGAGAGGCCGCGCTGTGCATTCAGCCCGGTCACTCGGCAGTTCCCTCCGTCCGTCCGGCATTCCCTGCGGCGGGTGGTGCAAACTCGGGGTGTCCTCCAGCACCCCTGAACCCAGCCCGGTTTCCACACTCCTGCCCCAGGAGCACCCACACCTTGGTCCCAGTGATCGCTCCCCCAGGACTCCGCTCCCTGTCCTCATCCACCTCGGGGCTGTGGACACAAGATGGAAGTAAATGGGGTTCCTCGCTGGGCGGGCCAGGCTCAACTTGCACCCCCCACCCCCGCGCCCCCCGCAGTGATGCTGGCGGAGATCGTGAAGCATTACCACCCGCGGCTCGTGGACCTGCACAACTACGTGCCCACCTGCAACACGGACCAGAAGCTCAGCAACTGGAGCACCCTCAACAGGCAGGCGCTCCGCCTCCTCCCTGCTCCGCCTCCTCCCTGCCTTTTCCTGTTGGAGCGCCCAGTCCTCGCTCAGGGGCTGGGGGACTCCCTCTCCCCCACCTTCCTGGTCTCCGGGACAAGTTCTCGGGCTGTCTCCTCGCTATGGGCTTCCCTGACGCCGTGCCAGTATCCCTGTTCCTGGCTGTCAGAATTTCACCATCAACCTGGGGCTCCTGGGGGTTCCCGCCACGAGGACAGCACTGGTCAGCCTGAGACTCGCTCACCTTGGACCGACCGTGTGTCCAGCCTGTCCGACCACACCTCTCACTCAACAACAATCGGGGCGCAGGGCTCTGCTCCGGGCACCTCGGACACGGCCTCTGCCTTCAGGGGATGAGTCTAGAGGGAAGACACGTGTCAGGTGTGATGAGTGCAATGGAGGAGGAAGCAGGGCCCCCGAGCGAGTGACGGAACAGTGATGGGAGGCGACCTGTGGGTGCGAAGGGGGTTGCAGTAAGGGCAGAGGGCTGGAGCTGGAGGGGGAGGGTCCTTATATTCGGAGCCACCCCGGGTCCTTGGAGACGGTGCTGAGGACCCTGCTCCTAGCCTGGGGCTGAGAGGCACTGCAGGGTTGAGGCCTATTCCGGAGGCTGTGGGAGGGAGGCGGGGTGGTGGTGGTGGCGGCAGCTGCCGGCAGATGTGTGCTGTGGCGGCGATGAAAAGCCAGATTCTGGGCGCTGGAGGTGAACCTCAGACTTCCTCAGAGCAAAGGGTGACTCAAGCAGGAAGGTGACTTCCCGTGCAGATCCCCGGGGGACACTTAGGAACACCAGGCCTGACCCCACAGGGCACCCCGTATTCTGTGGGGTGGCCGGGAACGGGATGGCCTCAGGGCCTCTGCAGGTGCAGGGCGAGGAGGAGCCCTGGTCCCCGCATCCCCTCGGAGGAGAGCCAGGGCACTGCTCTGAGGGCCACCCCCCGCTTCCTTCACAGGAAAGTCTTCCACAAGCTGCGTTTCTGTGTCTCAGAGGGCGATATCCGGAAGGTGGTGGCCAACACGCCGGGGGCCATCGAGCCCATCCTGTGCTCGCTGAGGGACAAGGTGGCGGCCGGCGCTGTCCACGAGGACCCGCCCGGCGCGGGCGCGCCTGCCGGTGCATCTGTACGTACCGCCGTGGGCCCGCCGCCCGCCACACGTGGACGTGGTCTCCTGATCTGCCAGTGAGAGCTGGACGCAGGCAATAAGGGCGATGAGCCGAAACCGGCTTGGCTCCGTGGATAGAGCGTCGGCCTGCGGACTGAAAGGTCCCGGGTTCGATTCCGGTCAAGGACATGTGCCTTGGTTGCAGGCACATCCCCAGTAGGAGGTGTGCAGGAGGCAGCTGATCGATGTTTCTCGCTCTCTGTCCTTCTTCCTTTCTCTCTGTAAAAAATCAATAAAATACATATTTTTTTTAAAAAAATAAGGGTGATGAAGGCCCCGGTCCCCTGGCCGACCTGGGACAGGGAAGCTCACCTTTCATAATGCTCCTCCCCAGGCCGGCACCGGCCATCCCCCTCCTCGTGGCCCTCCCTCCATGGCTGGGAAGTGCAGAGAGGCGAGTTGGCTATGCGGCCAGGGGTGAGCCCTGGGGGGCCGCATCTCACGGTCCCTCCTCTGAAATCCTTGCAGGACCCGGGAGTCTCCGGTGCGGACGCGGATGGACTGTGGGCGGGCCTCGCCGCCACCCCCCACGCCGGTAGTACCCAGACCCCCGTGTGGGAAACAGCCTCGTGGAAGGGGCAGCGCCACAGAGACAGGCGTGTGGTGCCCTCGCGCTCACGCACCTGCAAGGGAGGGCAGGGGTCCTTGGGTGGCACAGGGCCTGGCGGGGCGGGTGGCCTCCAGGGGGGCAGCTCCTCGGTCTGAGGGCCCGAGAGGGGCCCTGATGCCGTCGCCTCCTGGCTTCTGTCCAGGGGCCACGCTGGGCGGCTGTTCCATGGGCACATCTCCAAACGGAAGCCTTTCGGAGGCAGCCAGCTGCACCTCGGGACGGCGTAAGGCCGGGCCGGGCCCACAGGGCGCTCTCTGTGTGGCTCAGCCTCCCCCGGGTGCTGCTGCGGGGACCTGAGCCGTGTCCACTTGTCTCCCAGGCCTGCCGAGCTCCCCAGTGGCTTCCGGCGTGAGGACCCTTCCGAGGCAGAGGGCTTGGGAGAAGACGGGACACTGTGCGTGCAGAGGGTGGGCCCCCGTCTCCCGAACCCTCTGCCTTTGCGCCCCAGCCACCCTGTCCTTCCGGGTTAAAGGCCAAGCGTTTGCCTTTCAGGCGGGACCCAGCCGGTGGGCCCTGGGAGCACCCGGAGACCGGGGTGCAGCAGCTGCTGGAGGAAAAGGAGCAGGCGCTGGCCATTCTGCAGGAGACCGTCAAGGTACAGTGACCGGGGTGTCCCTCCGTGCCCACCCCCAGGGAGCAGAGGAGTCGGTTGTGGGCATTACGGGAGGCACTGCTTTCCTTTCTGTGCAGCTCAGACCCATGGGGGGGGGGGCATGGTGGGGGGGGGGCAAGCAGGATCTCTAACCAGGGAGAACCCACATTTAATTTGATTATTTTTATTTTAAAAATTTCAACTGAGGGGGAGATAAGAGATCAACCAAAGGACTTATATGCATGCATGTAAGAATAACCAATGGATGCAAATAATTGGGGGGTGAGAGCATGTATGGGAGTGGGGTGGAGGGGCAATGGTAAGATACGTACACATATAATACCTTAATAAAAAAAAATTTCAACTGACTTTAGAGAGAGGATGTGTGAGAGAGAGAAACATTGATATGAGAGAAACATTGATTGAAGGGTCCCAGGTTCAATTCTGGTCAATGTTGCCACCTGCACACCCAGACCAGGGTATGTGCTTTGACCAAGAATCCGACTCACCACCTTTTGGTGTACAGGGAGAGGTCCCAACCCAGTGAGCCACACTGGCCAGGGCTTGATTATTTTTAACTATGGAATATGCAAAACACTTCCAGAAGCGTGGAGAAGAGTTTAGTGCCCCCTCCCCAAGAACTCGCCATCCAGCCCCCCAGTTCCCAAGCCCCAGGGCCCACATTCCAGGGGCTGCAGACAGCTACCCAGATGTGATGGGCAGCAGGCCCAGGACCGAGTCTGGGAGCAGAAGATGGTCCTCCAGGTGCAGGCCTCGTCCCGAGAGCACCAGAGTCTGCAGTAGTCCCGAGTTCAGGAAGTGCGCAGGCCCCTCGCTGCCAGACAGTGACCACCCTATGAGAGGACAGGTCGCAGCTTCCGGCCTGAGACGGGGGTGGGAGGGGTGTGTGTGTGGGAGGGTGCAGCGCAGGCCACAGCAGTCTGCCCTGAGTCCGAGGGGCCGGAGGAACTGTGATGACAGGGTGGTTCCCGGCCGGCCCGTGTCCCGGGCTGGGTGAGCTGTGTTCCCGAGAATGCAGGACGTGACGTCACCGTGTGGTCTGCCTTTGCTGAGGGGTGGCAGAGAGGAAGTGATGAGATGTGAAGCAACCACCTCTGGAGGTCTGACACAGCCCCGGGCTCTGGCCCGTGTGCTGACAGAGTGGATTATAACCGAGTTCTTTGTGAAAGCCGGAGAGGGAAGCAGCTCTACGTGCCATTCAGGATGTTCCAAATGGGGGACAGGTGCCCAGGGGCCAGGGGGGCAGCAGCTGAGGGCCAGGGCCTCGGTGGGGAGCAGGCACCTTCTGTGTTGGCCCAACGAGGAAGCCTGCACATGGGCAGCCTTGGGCCGCCCCCGCCCTTCGCTGCATGTTGCTGGGGAGTGGGCCCTGGGGGAGGGCAGGGAGTGGGCCCTGGGGGAGGGGGTGGCCAGGACTCGGCAGTGTGGACCGCCACCGGGCGGCCCGCGCCATGCTGGGCCCGGGGAGCAGTCTGTGCCCAGCGGAGTGTGGGCCGGCCGCTGCTGACCTCACTCCACACACGACACGGTGCTGGGGGCAGAGGGGCCTCAGATCCTCTCTCCCACTCGCCTGTGCGGGTGGTGGGCCTGCGCTTCCAAGAAGGGGAGGCTGCTGACGTGGCCGTCCCTGTGGAGGAGGCTGCGGTGGCTCCTTGTTCTTCACGAAACTTCTTTTCCTGATAAAACAGGATTTATTGGCAGGTTTTTTAAAAAAATGACTATTGGGTTACACTGGCCAATGAAATCATATAGGGTTCAAGTGTACAATTCTACAGCACATCACCTGCACATGGACATGCGCTTGACTGTTAACGCTTAGACGTAAACCTGGCACAACGGGCCTGCACCTGTGGCAAGGGGGCAGGAGGGCCACCCCTACTGTGATGTCCGCGGGGCCTCTCCCCGGGTCCCCCTTAATGGCCTTGGGTCTGGCTGTGGGCCGTGTGGCCTTGCAGCACGGCCGGCCGGACATTGGGCTCGGCCTGGAACTGCCCAGCGCCGGCAGGGGGGCGGGGCGAGAGATGCCTGTCTCCCTGAAGGTTCTGCAGATGAAGGTGGTCAGGCTGGAGCACCTGGTGCAGCTGAAGGACCAGCGGATCGGTGAGCTGACCCGCCGGGGGACTGAGCCCCAGTGAGCACGAGGCCTCGGGGAAAGGCTCCCACATCAGCCAGACCTGGAACTGGACCCCACATGGACCTCGCCCAGACCAGCCCTGGCCGCGTCCTGTCCAGCGGGCTGAGGGACATCGTGCACCAGGACCCGGGGTGGGCAGCAGGGTGCAGAACTCACGATCCTGGAGGTCGGGCCTTGGGGCTGCACGCTGGCTCCTGGCTGTGTCCTCTGAGGTTCGCCCTGCCCCAGCTGAGTTTGGAAGTGAAGACTTGGGTCCGGTTACCTGGAGCCTTGAGGGGTTTTGTCGTCATTGTGTCTGAGCGTGGACATGGACGGTCCCCCCTCTCCCGGGCAGTGTCCTGCTCCCACCCACCTGAAGTTCTGTGGGAGGCCCTGCCCACAGGAGCATGTGTCCCCGCCTGGTCCAATCTGCCCGGGGCCCTGGGGGCGGGAGGAGCCGCCAGGGGCTCTGTGGCCACCCTCAGTGGGTGGTCCTGGGTGCCCTGCTGCAGTCCCTTGAGAAGGACGGGTCACCCTGTTTTGCCAGGGGTGTAGGGGATCAAGGAGGAGCTGGGCCTGCAGGATGGGCCCCACCGGTCCTCCCGGAGTCTGTGGCCCCTGGAAGGAACTTGCCCCGGTCCTGCCTGGAGGATGAGGAGGGAGGTGCCAGGCAAGCAGCCTCTGGCCCTGAGACGGGGCTCCAGGGTGCTCCCAGGCCCTGAGGTTGGCTGGGGGGCGGGCAAGGGCTTTCCTGTCCTGGCATCCAGGCTTCCCTGCCGCTTCCACACCCAGAGTCCCAGAGTCGGGGGCTGGGGCCACCTCAGTCTTGGTTCAGTTCCTGGATTCCACTGCCTCATGGCCCACCCCCTCTCCCAGTGGCAGAGCAGCATCAGGCTCAGAACCACAGCCTCCGGCAGAGTTTCAGCCTGAGTCACACAGCCAGGCACACGCTGAGTCAGAAGGCGTGGCGGGCCCACAGCACGGCGCTGAGGGCTCCGGGGCCCGGGAGGATTGGGGAGGAGGATCTGCTGGCCCAGGAAGCACTCACGGGTCAGGAGGGCTCCAGTGGCCTCAGAGTGGGGTCCGGGCCGCCATGGTGGGTCCTGGGTGGGTAAGCCTAGGCTGGGGGACCAGACCCTCTGGTTGCGGGGATCGGGGGCTACAAACAGCTCCCGCTGGTCCCTGTGTTGGGAGAGGGAAAATCCACCCAGAGATGGGGGAGGTGGCTCCACAGCTCCAGGCTCCCAGTGGCTAGCAGCTGGGGGAGGGGCAGGAAGTAGCTGGGGAGGGCTCGGCGGAGAGCGTGAGTCCAGACTGGCCCAGGCAGCTTCACGCCCCAGACCCGGCTGCCTCCCTGAGAGAAGCTCGGAGCCAGGAGATGGTGCCCGCCCTGCAGCCTCCGTGTACCGCCAGGGGCTGCCCTGGCTCCAGTGCCCAGACCGGCACGGACACACGTGCACCCACCGGGCCTCATGCTGAGCAGAGGCTGTGCGCGCGCGCGCGTGTGTGTGTGTGTGTGTGTGTGTGTGTGCGCCGTGTGCTCTCCAGGGCCTCAGGGGTGGGTTTGGGTCCAGGCAGGGCAGGGAGGGCCCAGAGGCTGCAGGAAGGAGGTGGGGAGGGTGGGCACCCCTGAGGAGGACTCCCTGGCCCCCTCCTCCCTCCAGGGCCTGCCTGCCATTCCCCAAGGGCTGGGGTTTGGGTGGAGACAGAGATGGAGTCTGGGGAATCGGCCTCTGGCGATGGAAGTCCCTGGCAGGGCCCTGGGAGCAGGTGCTGCGTGTGAGGTGCCTGGAGGCCAGGGACTAGGGGAACTGCACCCCAAACACACCCCATTCGCAGGCCCGGGCTTGCCGGCTGCAGACAAGCCCATTGGCGGCCCCTGTGAGCCCCAGCCTGCTCCAGGCCAGCTTCAAGGGGGCCGGGCCTGGGCTGGAGGTGGGGCTCAGGCCTGGTCTCCAGCCCCCCCGAAAGAGACGTCCTGCTTCGGCGGGGGTCCAAGAAGCTGACTCCAGAGTTAGGAAGCGGCTGTGAGTCACGCTGGCCAGTGCCTTTCCCGGTTCACCCTAGAAAGAACCCAGGCTCGAGGGCAAACTTAGGACAAAGTCGGAAGCCAGTCCCTTCCCGTCCTGTCCCTGTCCCGTGGGGTGAAGGCGCCGGCGGCACCCGCTCTGCACTTGGACTTGGGTTCAGCCATCACTTCAGAGAGGCGCCCAGGCTTAGGAGGGAGTGAGGGCCGACCCCTGGACTTGCCCCTCGGTGACACAGGTACCAAGGAAAATACTAGAACCTAGTGACTGTGTGCAAAAGCGATCCCCGGGGACAAGAACCTTCGTCCCTCTTCCAAAGATGAGGCAGCACGAAGCTGGCAAAGATGCTCCGAGCGCGGGAGCCGCGAGCCTTCCCCAGGGCGGCTCCTCGGGAAGTCAGGTGGACAGGCCCTCCTCCACCCGACACCACACAGCTGCTGCCCTCGGGCCCAGCCGAGGCCTTGCGTGTACAGATTCAGGTCACTCACTCCGCTTCCTCTTGCTGCAAACCCCGCAGAGAGGAAGTGGGGAGTGAGAGCCAGCTCCGCACCCCACGCCCCAGTTTGGACAGCTGAGAGTGGAGGTGTTTCCTCAGCAGGGAGGCGGGTCTTTCTGCCCGTTAGACATTTCATAACTGAACAATAAGAGGGGAAACATTAGGATGCACACAGGTGTTGATGTGGATGGTGATCAGAAACCCACTCCCCGCCCCAAACCCAGCTGGCAGGCCCTCGGCCTACCCCCAGCCCCCACCCCTGGGAGCTGGGGCATCTGGAACCCACTTCCTCGTTTGAGAAATGGGGAACAAAAGTGCCCTGGAGTGGCCGGTAAAGTCTGGCTGGGTGAGCCTGGCCACACCCACACCGCCCCAGGAGCCCAGAGTGGCCGGCCCAAGGGCGACCCCGTGTGGCCGGTGTGTACATCTCGCCTTCTTGGTCCTTTAAAAACTGGCAACACCTGGGGCTTTAAAGACCAGCAGCCTGCCCTCCTCAGCTGGACAGGAAAGGCCTGAGAATGCCACTTCACCCAAAACCCTGTGTGAGGGTGGGCGGTGGGCACACACACGGGACCCCTGGTGGTCTCTGCTCTGTGAGGCCCCCACCTGATGCTCCAGCTCCTGAACTTCGAAACAACCGATTCAGCTTAATACTCGTGCACTCAAGTGTTCATCGCCAGGTGTGTCCTTGAGAGAGCAGGGGCCAGACACACCCTGCTGGGGACACACCTCAAGGGTAAGGTGACCAAACGTCCCGCTTTTGACGGGACAGTCCCGATTTTTAACAATTTGTCCCGCAGCGTTTTAAAAAAGTCCCGATTTTTGGAAAGAATGCAGGACAAGCTAGGGAACAGCTGGAGAACGGAAGGTTTTTGGTGACCATGTGGCTATTTAGCCAGGATATGAGTTTTATATTATTTTTGTTAATTTTATAATGTTAAACTTTAATAATAACAAATAATTGTTGAGAACTGCTTATCAAAGTTCGAATTGTTGGTCAGTTGTTAGAATTCGACCACCACTGTTTGGACTTAATGAACAATGGCATTTTTTGGGATTGGCAATGGTGTCCCGCTTTACCAATGTTAAAATCTGGTCACCTTATTCAGGGGGCTCCAGGCCAGGCGGGCCCCAGGACTCCCTAGTGGCTTCAGTGACGGCAGAAAAGTCCGTTTTTAAAGTGTTTTTATTGATTTCAGAGTCAGGAAGGGAGGGAGGGAGAGGAGGAAACATCAATGGGGAGAGGGAATCCTTGGTCCTGCACGCCCCCTGCTGGGTGGAGCCTGCCACTCGGGCGTGTGTCTGAGCGGGACTCTAGCAGGCGTCTTCAAACTACCGCCCGCGGGCCACAGGCAGCCCGCAGAGGAGTCTGATCCGGCCCGCCAGGTTTTTTGGGGCAGTGAGCGCAGCCGAGGTGTTACAGTAGGAATTAGTAGTTCATATAGTCCGGCCCTCCAGCTCTCTGAGGGACCGTGATCTGGCCCCCACTTTAAAAAGTTTGAGGACCCCTGCCTAGGGGAATCTAGCCGTGCGGGGCAGAAAAGTGATCTCAAGCAGGCCCCGGGGGCCAGGGATGTGGAAACAGGACCCTCTCCCCGCGGATTGCTGGGCTCCGAGCTCAGGAAACCCGAGTGACAGCGTGAGCGCTAGGTGCACGCCCCCCAGTGGCGGAGAGCGCACAGGGCGGGATGGAGACGTGGAAAGCGGGGCCTGGTGGGGTGTGGGGGGTGGAGGAGGGGGATAAAACAGGGCCTGACACTTCAGAGTGGGTGGCCGGGGTGCCCACCAAGATCGACTGAACGAGGAGACGGGGGTTGAGACAGAGGAGCAATAGGTGCAAAGGGCCTGGGGCAGAGAGCCAGAGGTCAGGGGGTTCACGGGGTGGGGTGTGGGCTGTGGTCACAGTGGGGGGTGGGGGGTAGGGTTGGGACTTTGCCCTGAGGAGGGTGGGAGCCTTGGAGGGGGCCTGGCAAGCGACAGGCTGGGCAGGGCCATGTGGCCCCCGTGTGGAGGTGGCCCGGACTCAGGGAGACACTCAGACGCCCGGCAGACATGGCCAGGGAGGAGCACCTCTGTGGAACCCACCGCTGCCTCGGACCCCGTCCTGCACCGCGGGCGCCCAGAGCGGGTGCCGCTGTCCCAGGAGGGGGCGGGAGGCGGGCCTGCGTGATGGCGGTGAAATGATGCCGGAAAGCAGGCCGACGGAAAACCAGGTGGTTCACAGGGTTCCCGTGATGGCAAAACGGTGGTTTCTTCTCTGTACTGCTTGCACCTTCCATAAGAGCAACGCGTGCTCTGTAATCGGGGAAGACGGGAATCCAGCGTGTGGGAGAGCCGCCCCTCCCGCAGCCTCTGGGATCCGGCTCAGCTGAGGGCCCTCGGGTCAAAACACACTCCTCCGGGGAAAGGGTCTCCTCAGAGGCACCTTGAACCTGGGGGATATTGGATCTGACCCTGGCTGGCGCTTGTCCCCGGGAACCGAGCTCAGCCTGCTAACCCGGTTCCCCTCCAGCAAAGTAGGGGAGCAGGGACCAGGGCCCCGCAGGCCCGGCCAGCGCCCATGCGGGCAGGGGCTGGCTGGTGTCCGGCTGAGCCCACTCCAGCATTCTCAATTCCTAACCGACGCCCAGGCCGGCAGGAAGGGAGCCGGGGACGGGGCTAAGCCTGGTGGCTGGACCCCAGAGGGAGTGGCTAGGAGAGGGGCAGGCTCAGCATGCGTCTACATGTGTGAGTGTGCGTGTACGCGTGTGAGGGTGCATGCATGG